TTTAAATTGTGGTAAAATACACATAACATGCAACTTACCATCTTAACCATTTTCAAATGGGCCGTTCCGTATTAAGCATTAAGCACATTCACGTTGTTGGGCAACCCAGCCACAGGACGCTTTCATCTTGCCATTGTGCAGTTCTGCAGTGACCAGCAGACTGCTCTCAATCCCCATCCCCCGCCCCACCCATAAATCACTGCCCCCCAGGGATTGGTCTCCCAAGTTCCAGAGTAAGGTACCCTGTTACTACCTGCGTGGCAGCTGGTCCTGGGCCTGGCTGTGGGGCCAGGCCAGGTTTCTGGTGACCCATCAGTGGGCCAGTCAGGCTGCCTGGACTTCCGGGGCCTTTCACACTGCAGGCCTGGCTGGCTCCTGTAGGTCTGAGTGCCCCAGGGCATGCACTTGAGCAAGTCCTGGCAGCTCTCAGCTTCCACCCCCACCTGCGGCCTGAGGCTGCCCCGGTCACCAGGGAGGCCAGGTGGGGGGGCATGAGGGGTGAACAAAGACTCCTCCCTCGAATGCACAGGTGACTCAAGGAGGGCAGTCCAGGTCCCAGGAGTCCACTTTCATCCCAGGGTGCGGAGCACATCTCCCTGGGTGTGGTGCGAAGGCAGGTGAGCAGGGCCCCACTGCCTTGACTCCGACAGCCACAATGCCCTGCTGCGACACAGCTCTTGGGTTTAGAATGATCTTGCAGGAGCTGGCAGGAGTTAGAGCAGGCACCAAGTTACCTGTTAGCCTGCTCTTTGCAAGGTCTGAAATCCTCAGACGCTGCCTCCCCAGGAACGCCCAGCTCTCCTCCCTTGGGCTGGCGTCTGGCCAGCTCCAGGGGGACGAGTGAGGGCAAGGGAGGGCAAAGAGTGAGGGGTGAGGGCAGGCGTGGGACACACAGCTGTCAAATCCTTCCTTCACCGGCTTATGCCATTTCATTCTCGGCGATTCTGCCTGTTTACAAATGAAGAAGCTGAGGCTCAGAGAAGTCACCAGAAAGTTATGGACCGGGGATTAGAGCCAGGGCTGCCTGCCTTCATCCTCCTCCTCCTGCTTAGAAAGCAGTCATGAAGTGGCTGTTTGCAGATGGTGGTTGGAGCTGAGCATGATCAAGTGTCAGGTCCTGAAGGAGGCCCTGGGGGGTCTGGACGTGGACTGGGGGCCCGGCCCCATGCTGTCTCCTGGGAGAGACAGACAGATGACCCACAAATGCTGATGCACTGTGACAAGTGCTGCCGCAGTGACAGGATAAGGGAAGTAATTCTGTCTTGGGCACAGTGGGTGCCGGTAAGGGATTCTCCCAACAACTCCCAGATGAGGACACTGAGGTAGTCCCCAGCACAGAGGTATACAGGGCAGGGGCTGATGGAGCCTCGGGACCAGTTCTGAAGCTGGGGTGCCACCTCTCAAGCAGCAGAGAGTGAGGACAGAATGCGTGGGCTGGCAAGTGCCCTCTGGGCAGAGTGGGTGACGCTGAGAGGGCAGTAGGGAGACTGCTGCAACAGTCCATAAGAAGGGTGACGAGGCCAGAGGTGGCACCAGTGGGAAGGGGGCAATTCCTGCTGTGTGGTCCCAGGATTTTACCGTCTTGGCCACTGGCAAGCAGCAGGGATGCGGGTACTCCCCAGCCCAGCGAGATAGACCCAGACAACAAGGAGAGCGCGTGTGAGCTGGGGTGGTCCAGCCTGGCCGGCCCCTTCAGGACAGGCTCCCCGTAAGCATTTTCTCCTTGTGACAAACTTTCCCCACAAGGAGAAGGCAGAAGGACAAACTAACACTGACAGATGTCTCCCTTTGCCAGACGCTGTGCCAGGCACTTTACAGGTGTTCCTTCACTCAATCTTCCCAGCCAAATTATGATCCCCTTTTGGAGATGAAGACACTGAGGCACAGAGGGAGAGACTAAATTGTCCGAGGCCAGCCGCCTCAGGAAGCGGTGCACCCAGGGAGCCTCCGTTCCCTATCCTGGCAGGGCGCCTGAGCGTCTCGCCCCTTGGCTTCTGGGCGGTGTGGCTCCTGCAGCAGCTCACAAGAATGCCAAGTCTGGGGCTAGGCCGCCCAGATGTGGCCAAATGTGGGGAAGGGACAGAGGCCTGGCTCCTGCCAGCTTCTGACTGCCCCCTCTGCCGAGCCCACCTGCCTCTCTCAAGGGCTGAGAAAGGCAGACGGAGGCTAACGGCCAAAGGGACAGGGGTGAGGACACGACACGAGGCAGCCGCACTGGAGGAAGTACAGGTGAACAGAATGAGCTCTGGGCTAGGCAGCAAGAGACCCAGCTCCCAGGCCCAGCCCTGCCAGGAGCCAGCCCCAAAATGTGTTTGGCGGGGGACAGGTCATGTCCCTCCTCTGCATCTCAGGTCTTCTGTCAGAGGAGGCTGGACTGAGGGCACGCAAGGTTCAATGGATACTCTGTGGTTTATGCTCCAAGGTCTATGCCTGCAAAGGTGCACAGGAAAGCACAGGCTGTGCGGACGGGGAGGAGGAGGCACCTTCTGGAATGGAACTGAAGCAGCCTCTCCCCTGGGGCAACTCGTCCCCTCAGCCTTGCACTCCCAATCTGGGTGACCAGGACAACCTCCAAGGGCTCAGAGAAGCCAGATAGGAAGGAGCCTCTGCCAGGTCAGCAGCTCAACTTCTAGGGAGGGGTGGGGGGGGGGGGTGCTGCTCTTAGCAGCCTAGAGCCCAGAGCCTTGCAGGAGGTGGGGGACAGGTAGCCTGGTCCAGGCTGGAGGGGCCGGGGACCTGAGCTTTGTTTCTCTGAATGGCAGCTCTGCTAGAGGCCTGGAGCTAGGCTGCTCTCTACTGCTCTCTGCAACCCCCAGAGCGGAGAAGGCCTTGGTGCGGGCAGGGGACACACTCCCTGCTGAGCTGCCAGGGTTGCACCAGGCTCTGATTTACAGCTGCCCTTTTCAGGTGAGCAGCCACTTCCTAGGTATTCCATTCAGCCAGGATGTGCCCTCCCCCACCCCATCCCCACCCTGTCTCTGAAATCTCTGGGCTCCAGGTTGTCTTCTGATTTCTGTCCCTCCTGCTGGGACGTTCCAACATACTGAACTCCCTTCCCCTCGCACCTCCCTCTGGCAGCCTGGGGCAGGGAAGAACACTGGACTGAGGGCCCGGAGACCTTGGATAAGTCACTGTGTTTGTAACAGCAGAAAGGGGAGGAGCAGAAGCTGAGTTTCACCACAGCTTGTCTCTGACCCCCTCCTCCTCCTCAAGTAATTTCTTGCCAAGACAAGTCAATTCCTCTTTCAAACCATCTCATGAACGTCCCCCATCTCTTCCTGTCCCCACTGCCCCTGCCCTCTGGGGCCCCGTTTCTGTTCCCCGAGACTCCTAAAATCTGGCCTCCCTGCCTTGACCACCTCACGGGGCGTGTGGACATGCCCCAAAGTCCAGCTTGGTCCTCACACTCCCCTCTCTCAACACCAGTGTGCCACCTGTGCCCCATCTCTCTCACTGACCTTTCCCGCCCCGGCTCCCTGCTCAGGAGGAAGCCTGCCTTCCCCTGAATGAGCACTGCCCTCTCTAGCCAGAGGCCCACTCCACATGAGCACCCTCCTCCAAGGAAACGCTTCTGTCCTTCAAGCACCATCTCCAAAGCCACTTCCCCAGTGAGGCCTTTCCTCAGGTCCCCGAAAAGGTACAGCGTGTCCTTGCTCTGAGCCGTTATCAGTAACCCTACCAGACTGGGGCTCCTCAAGGGCTGACATGCACAGGAGTCATTAATGAGTTTTCTTCAACAAAGAAGTCCTCTGAAGTCTGGTACTTCCACTGTTAGGATGTCGGTAAGGACAGCAGAGAAGACAGGGGTTGCAAACTGGTGACCCGTGGGCCAAATCTGATCCCCGAGTGACACGATGTCTTTCTATTAATTGAGGTAAAATTCACATGATGTAAAATTAATCATTTTAAAGTGTACAACTCAATGGCAGTACGTTCACAAAATGTGCAACCACCACCTGTATCTGAGTCCAAAACGTCTTCCTCATCCCAAAAGGAAACCCCATGCCCATTAAGCTGTCACTCCTCATTTCTCGCTCCCCACAGCTTCTGGCACTAACCTACTTTCTGTCTGTGTGGATTTACCTACTTCGCATAAGTGGAATCATACCACATGTGGCCTTTTGTGACTGGTTTCTTTCACAGCATAATTTTTGGAAAGTTCTTCCACGTTGTAGCATGTATCAGAACCTCATTCTTTTTCATGGCTGAATAATATTCCATCGTATGGACATACCACAATGTGTTTATCCATTCATCAGTTGCTGGACAATTGGGACTGTATCCATCTTTTGGTTATTGTGAATAGTCCTGTTATGAACATTCGTGTGCAAGTACTTGTTTGAGTTGCTGTTTTCAGTTCTTTTGGGTCCATAGATAGGAGTGGAATTGCTGGGTCATATGGTAACTCTATGTTTAACTTTTTGAGGAAGATGCGGTGTTTTAATATTTTGAATTCGAATGTCTTTAGGTCCATCTGTCTGTCTCCATCTCTTCTATTGTCTTACACCTCGCCCTCTGACTCATATGATTTATCTGGCCCCTAAAGGCATCTGAATTTGCTGCCCCCTCCAAGGCTTTGGCGGCAAAAAAAAAACTTAGCACCCAATTCAGTTGCTAAGAGCCGGAGACCCTGGGTAAATCTCTCCACCTCTCAGAGTACTATTCCGCTCAGCCTCAGAAGGAGATCATGCTTACCTAAGAGGAGGCGGCGAGGATCAGGGAGGCGACGGGCAGAACGTTTCTCCTCCGAAGCTGCCTCGCTGTGGACACGGAGAGGGGCGGGCGAGGCCAGGAGGAGGCGGAGGAGAGACAGCGGGCGGGCCGGGCGCCCTGCGGGGGTGCCGGCAGCGGTCGGGGCTGCAGACCCGCCGGGTCCGAGCCGGCGCGCACCGGGCTCGCGGCGCAGAGCGCAGCCGGCAGGGGGCCCGGGCGCCACGGCCGCGCGGCGCCACGGTGGGGGCCGGGCCGGGCGGCGCCGCGAGCCCGGGCGGCGCTCAGGTTGGCCCGCGGTGGGCGGGGGTTGCCCCCCGTCCCGCCCCCCACATCCGGGGGCCCGGGCCCGGCTCTGGGCTGGCCGCGCGCCGGTGAGTCAGGCCGGGTTTTCCCTCCGCCTTTAGGGCAGGCGAGCGAGCGCCGCCGAGCGCGTCCCTCCCTCGCCAATCCGGCTCCGGCGCCCGCCCGCGTTTTCCCGGCGCCCGCCGCACGGCCGCTCCGGCCCGGCTCGCAGTCTCGGCCGGAGCCGGCGCCTTGGAGGGAGGGTTCAAGTCCGCGCGAGGGAACTGCCGCGCGCGAGCGGTGCGGAGCGGCGCCAGCATGGTAAGCGGGGCGCGCCAGGGCCCGGCGCCGGGGCGCGGGGCTGGACTCGGGGGGTGGGGCCGGCCGCCGAGGTCTCGCTTTCCCGGCGACCTTGGCCAAGCCGCAGCCCTCGCCGGCCGCGGTTCCCGTCTGAGGAGTGGGCCGGGGTGGCAGGGTGCGGTGTGCGCCTAGGTGCCCTCTGCTTCCAGACACCGAAGCACTGAGGCGCGGGAGCAGGGACCGACCGCGATCAGGGACGCTCGGCTGGAGGGCAGGCGGCAGGTTACGCTGCTCTCCGCCACCCCTGCAGACGCGCTTTCCTTGGAGCCGCGCCCCGGACCCCTGCGCCGCCGCTGGGGTGGAGCAGACTCCCTTAGCGCGGGAGTCCGACCTCGGCCTCCGCCCCCTCAGCCAGGCGCTCGGGGCAAATCCTCAGGGAGGGGCCAGGAAGAGAGGCCCTCTCCAGTCCCCCAGGTAGCTCGAGCACCTCTCGCAGTTCTGGGGAGCCCCCGCCTCCCCCACAGCCTTCCCGGGGAAAATTACATGGGGTTGCCAGCCTCTTCTGCCCCTTCACCTTCCCTCCCCTGTCCTCCAGGATACCCCTTTCCTCCTCCAACTCGCTGCCCTGTGCAGGTGGCAGCTGCCGATCTGCTGCGAGGGGCCCCGATCTGTGCCTCAGGGACGCGCCCAGGTCTTGGCGGCCGCAGCACCGTCCCCGTCTGGCCACAACCTTTGGCCAAAGTGAGGGCCAGCCTGGGGCCAGAGCGAAATGGGGGCCTTGGCTATGTCTGGAAAGAGTACTGGGAGCCGTCGTCTCCCACCCGGCACCTCCCGCCCAAGATTGGGGCTCTCCTCCCTTGGACGAGCGGCTCAGCCTGACTGTCCCGCGGCTTGGCTGCCGGTGCCCTCTCCTTGCCCAGCCTGGGCAGGGAGCAGAGGCCGGAGGCCACCCTGGGCCAGTGATCAGCCGTCTCCCCGGGCCCTCCAGGGCAGGGCTCCTCTGCCGGCCGGCCGGCTGCGTGTGGGTGTGTATGTGCGAGACTGAATGAAGGCGCCCAGCCGGCTCCCACCACCTCCGCCACCGCCTCTGGAGCCCTCTAGAGCCAGCGGCTTCCTGGGCGCAGAGTCCTCTGCAGCGGGGTTTCCACTACTTCTTCCTGACCCGAGGGTAGGCAGGAGGGATTCCAGGCTCAGGGGACTGGGATCCAAACCAGCCTGATTGCAGACCGCCTTGGGAGAAGCAGGTGTGGGGGCTGGGCATACATATATATGCAGCAGTGTGTGCCCATGGAGGGCAGCTGGTCACCCCTGGCTGGGACAGCCTGATAGAGTAGAAGGGGCCTTGCCCAGGGAGTTGGTTGCTTGTCATGGTGGGATCATGGGCAGCTTGCTTCTTTATGGGCCTCAGTTTTCCTGTCTGTAAAATGGAGTGAGGGTAACTCCCCACGAGGCTGTTATGAACATGAAATGAGATGATGCAGTGAAAGGGCTAAGGAAACTGTAGAGTGCGGTGCAACTGTAAGTGACTGCGTAGTGATCCTAAGAATCCTTCCTGCAGGGGTGTGACGCTTTGCTCTGCCTCTTCAAGCGTAGTTGCAGTGGGGCTAGGATATGCTAGCTCTTCCTGTCCCCTCCCTGGGCCCCCTCACACTGCCTTCTCTTTTGGAGCTGGGACATTCCAGTCCCATTCCTCAGGGGCAGCTGCAGACACGCTCTCAGCAAAGCTGATCCCCTGGCAGGTGCTGGGACCCTCCCCTGGGGCCAGGGCTCAGGAGGGGCTGACCACAGCTAAGGCCGGCCTGGGAGCTTCCTGCCCACACGCTCTAGGATGTCCCCCCAGAGGAGATACAATGTGAGGTCAGGGCAGGCTTCTAAACCTGGGGAGCTTATGCAACTGAACATGACCTTAGGCACATTATTTCACCTCCTGGGCCTCAGTGGTTTCCTCTTGTCAAGTGGGGGATGACAATACCCCTTCCTGCACATTATGTGAGGGTGTGGAAGGCCCAGCCGCAGGCTGACCCAACAAGATACCCACTAATAGATGCTGGGGTGCCTCCTGCATGTCCTCTCTTTCTCTGCTTCATGCCAGGGCAGTACCCTAACCACTTTCTGTCTCCACCAAGGGTTGGTCCAAAAGAGATGCACCTCTGTGTCCAGGGCTTTCAGTGCTGCTGCCTCGTCTTGGGGCCAGGAGGTGGAAGCAGGAGTAAAGGGGCCCTGTTGGGGCCTGCAGGGACCTGAGCCAAAGGCAGCTGTGTGGCCAGGCCCAAACCTGGCCAGCAGGAGGGTGGGGGATTCAGCTCTGAGCCCCAGGGTAGTCTCTGAGCTCTGGGCAGGGAAGCCCAGCGTGCGGGGCTGGTCAGGTGTTTTGCTCTGGCAGTCCCAATGGGGCTGCAAGGCACTTGCTGTCTCTTCCCCCTGCCCCCATCAAATCCTTCCTAGCCCAGCCTGCACAGCTGCCCTGGCCTAACCAGGCCAGTCCCTGGGCATCCAAGCAACGGGAAGGAATGTGTGTTTGGGGGGAGGTGGATGGACCTCTTAGGAACAGGGACTGTCCCCAGACTGAGACCTGGGCAGCGGGGAGCCTCCTGAAAGCCAGGGGCCTCGCCCCACTGAGGGAGCTGATAATAGAGCCAGAGAAGTCACCTAGAAGGGGTGGAGGGTGGAGGGTAGAGGGAGGGGGCCTTAAGGAAAGACAAAGGGAAGGGGCTGTCTGTGCCTCTTCATCCAGCTCCATAGCTGTTTCTGATTGCTCAGGTCACTGTGGAGAGAAGCTGGTCCCATGCCCCCCTCACCACCGACACACACACACACCCCTGCTTCTAGCCCGGGGGCGGGGGAGGACACCTGGGTCTTTGTGCAGGAGTGTTCTCATGTTATGGATGTATATCTCGGAGGGTGCTCCGTGCTGTGTGGGTGACCTTGAGCGTGACTGTGTCTGCTGTTGGATGTGACTGTCCGCGCTATGTCCTCTAACATAGGGGCCTCTGTGCTGCTGGTGGCGCTGACTGGACTGCGGTATGTGTGTGGTGTACACACTGTTGTGGCCCATGGCTGCCTCTCCCCTGGACCTGAGGCCCTTCGTGGGTAACAAGGGTGTCGTTTATTGCTCCCTGAGACAGGAAGTGACGATCTGCCTGGGGGAAGGTGAGGTGGTGTGTGTTTGGGATGAAGTGGGCGTATTTGGCACCACTGCCGCCATCTCCGCCCCCATGCTCTCACTGGGCTTACAGTCCACAAGACCTTTTACCTCTGTTGTCTCTGTGTCTGTCACAGCAGCCTATAAGGAAGGCAGTGCAAGCAGTCTTTCCTGCTACAGAGATGGGGAAACTGAGGCATGGCGAACAGAGGTGCCCGCAGAGAGATAGTGTGAGGGCGAGGCTGGAGACCAGGCTCTCTGAGAAGCAGTGGCAGGGGTGCAGTGAGCTCTGACACTGGTGTCTGTGGCTGCGTGAGCTTGTCCTGGAGGGGGCTGTCAGGTTGGGAGGCAAGATGCTTCAGTCCCAGCTCTGGGCTAGGGGTGACTTCCTGGGTCCCCCTAGACATTTGACAGCCATGGTGCTGGGATGACAGCTGTGGTCCTCATTTTGACCAGCTCTGTGACCTTGGGCAAGCCAACTTTCAGAGCTGCAGGGCCCTTCCCTAAGAAAATGGACAGTAAGTGTGTCACAGGGCTCCTTGGGACCCCTGCACAGGGCCGTATCACTGTGGGTGCCCAGCACCTGTGATTCCTTACCTGAGTGAGTCCCCTGACCTTGTGTGGCCTGAGATACCCCAAAGGGGTTGAGCCTGCTGGGGGCTGGTAGCGGAGGGTTGGGAAGGTCCCTTTTGCCCAGGGTGGGGTCCCTTAGGCCACAGGGTGTAGGGGCAGGGCCGTGCCCTCCCTCCCTCCCACTCCCAGAGAGCTTTGTCTTCCATAAACACAAAACCTGGAAATGGTCGAGGAAGATGGAACCTCCTAACGACCATTGTTTGGGGTGGGAGTGGGTGTCCCGGAAGCGTATTTGGTAGAGGGGGGAACTTGCAGCTGCAGCGTGCCTGCTGCGTGTCTGTCCGGGTCAGGAGCATCTGCTCGGGGGTGAGAAGCAGAGAAGGTGGCATCGTTCATTCGGCAGGTCCTTTCTGAGCACCTGCTGTGTGCTAGATGCTGGGCTGGGCACTGGGGGCAGGCTCCGCCCCCATGGTGAGGTCCCAACACAGGTGGGAGATGGTCATAACCTCACTCAACCACTCACTGGTGGCGTTTTGCTGGTGGTGTTCGAGTGTCTGACCAGCTAAGCTCAGCTTTGGCCAGCCTGTGCTGACCCTGGCTGCTGGCCAGGCCCTGGACTGGGCACTTTGTCTTGTTATCTCAGCCATCCTCCCAGCATCCCTGAGTGATAAGAGTTATCATGACCATTGTCTAGATGAGGAAGCCAGGACCCAAACACTAATTGGCTCCGTGCCAGGTCAGGATTTGGCCCCCCCCCCCCCCCCCCCCCCCTGGTAGTGGGCTTTGGAGTGGCAGTGTCTGCAAGGGCTGGCAGGGGCTCTAACTGCCCCTTCCCTCTGCCTCCCACCACTGCCCTGACATGAACACCTGTTCCGGAAACCGTGGCCATTGTTCCCGCCATCCTTCCCTCCCTCGGGCCCTTCCTGTTTGTATCCCTCCCACTATAGGCCCCAACCCCACCCTTGCCAGGTGCTTCCCTTGGGGAACTCTGACCCTCTGCAGGAAGAGGCCTGAGCTGGGTTTTCTCCCTCCCAAGGGAAGGAGGAATGGACAGTCTGAGGCCCTGGGCCCTGGTTCCCTGTGCCCTTTGTGCACCCCGCAAATTGGGGGATAGGAGCCTGACAGAAGAGGGAGCAAGGTCAGGGTCACACAGAGCCTGAGGCCTCAGTTGGCCTAGTCCTGAAAGGGGCCCCTATCCTGCTGCTTCAGGGCCTGGCCCCCTGTGCTCCCCAATCACACTGGCCCCTAGTGGAGCTGGGGCACCAGGCAGGTGGCTTTGGGACCTCTGCCCCTTTCTCTTGCCTGCCTAGGAATCCTGTCCTGGAGCCTCTCTGGACCCACATCTGCCTCCCCTGGGCGGGTCCGGTGGGGAGCTGACAGAGCAAGCACCTGGTTTTAGGGCATCAGGGCAGTTTGGCAGCACGTGCCCACCTACCCCTGATGGAGCCTCCCGATCCCCAGGAGCAGCTGCTGCCGGTGCCCTGTTGAAACTTCATGGCCACAGCCCCAGGCGCTGCTGGCATTGCCATGGGCAGCGTGGGCAGCCTGTTGGAACGGCAGGATTTCTCCCCCGAAGAGCTCCGGGCGGCACTCGCAGGGTCCCGCAGCTCCCGCCAGCCTGATGGGCTCCTTCGGAAAGGCTTGGGCCAGCGTGAGCTCCTCAGCTACCTGCATCTCCCCAAGAAGGACAGCAAGACTACCAAGCGGGCCCCTCGGAACGAGCCTGCCGACTATGCCACCCTCTACTACCGGGAGCATCCTCGAGCTGGTGACTTCAGCAAGACTTCACTGCCTGAGCGCGGTCGCTTCGATAAGGTGTGCCTCTGCCACACCCCTCCCTAGTGTGGGAGGGTGGGGATGGGGAGCGGGGCCTCCTCGGAAACCCTGATGCTGGATGGGGCCGGGACATGAAAGTCTGCTATGGGCTAGCCTGAGGCTTGGTCATTGCCTCCTGGGGACATGTACCCCATGTTTGCAAAGAAGATCCCCAGGGGCTGTGGGAGCATTGGAGGGTGGCACAGTTAGCCCGGAGCCTCACACCTGCCCTCTCTTCCTGGCAGTGCCGCATTCGCCCATCAGTGTTCAAGCCTGTGGCAGGCAGCGGGAAAGGCTTCCTGTCCATGCAGAGCCTGGCAGCCCACAAGGGCCAGAAGCTGTGGCGCAGCAATGGCAGCCTGCACACACTGGCCTGCCACCCGCCCCTGAGCCCGGGGCCCAGGACCAGCCAGGCGCAGGCTCGTGCCCAGCTGCTGCACGCCCTCAGCCTGGACGAGGGCGGCCCTGAGCCTGAGCCCAGCCTGTCCGACTCCTCCAGTGGGGGCAGCTTTGGCCGCAGTCCTAGCGCCGGCCCCGGCCCCTTCAGCTCCTCCCTGGGCCACATTAACCACCTCGGGGGCTCCCTGGACCGGGCCTCGCGGGGCCCCAAGGAGGCTGGGCCGCTGGCTATGCTGAGCTGCCTGCCAGAGCCACCGCCCCCCTATGAGTTCTCCTGCCCCACGGCCGAGGAGGTAGTAGCTGTGCTGCCGGATGCCTGTGAGGACCTCAAGAGGGGCCTCGGTGATGAGGATGGCTCCAACCCCTTCACGCAGGTGAGAGCAGCCTCTGCCCTGGGCTCCTGCTCTGTCCCTTGGCATTGGAGTACAGGGCAGACAGAGGGTCCCCAGCCAGCTCACCCGCGTGGCTCTGGGCACAAGAGAGTAAGGAAGAGGAAAATGATTCAGCTCCTCTATTCCCACCCCAGGTGGTGGGGATGTCATCTCCCTGGTGGTCCTTGCTGGGAGTTGTGTGGGAGGGCCACATGTTTGGGACACTTCACCTCTGGAGGCTATCACAGGTTAGGGCACATATGTGGCTGGAGTGCTGGGCCCTAATGTTCGGCTGGTGTGTTGGAGTGGTGGGCCAGCTATGGGTATGTTGGCCCTGTCAGGCTCCTCTTCCCCTTGGCAGGTACTGGAGGAGCGCCAGCGGCTATGGCTGTCTGAGCTGAAGCGCCTGTACGTGGAACGGCTACACGAGGTGGCCCAGAAGGCCGAGCGCAGTGAGCGCAATCTCCAGCTACAGCTGTTTATGGCCCAGCAGGAGCAGCGGCGCCTGCGGAAGGAGCTACAGGCACAGCAGGGCCTGGCCTCTGAGCCCCGACCCCCAGGCACCCTCCCGGAGGCCGACCCCAGTGCCCGACCAGAGGAAGAAGCCCGGTGGGAGGTGAGAGACCAGGCAGTCAGAAACCCTCCCCTCCCTGTTGCTGGAGTCCCATCCTCTGCCTGTCCCTTAACTGGCTTCTTTACCCTGTTTGCTTGGCTCTTGCCCGTCCTGTATCCCCTCTCCAGGTGTGCCAGAAGACAGCGGAGATTAGCCTCCTGAAGCAGCAGCTACGGGAGGCCCAGGCGGAGCTGGCGCAGAAGCTGGCTGAGATCTTCAGCCTGAAGACGCAGCTTCGGGGCAGCCGGGCACAAGCCCAGGCCCAGGACGCAGAGCTGGCCCGGCTCCGGGAGACCGTGCGGAGCCTGCAGGAGCAGGCCCCCCGGGAGGAAGCCCCGGGCAGCTGTGAGACCGATGACTGCAAGAGCAGGGGGCTGCTGGGGGAGGCAGGAGGCAGCGAGGCCAGAGATGGCACTGAGCAGCTGCGGGCTGAGCTGCTGCAAGAGCGGCTCCGGGGCGAGGAGCAGGCGCTACGCTTTGAGCGGGAGCGGCGGACGTGGCAGGAGGAGAAGGAGAGGGTACTGCGCTACCAGCGGGAGATCCAGGGGGGCTACCTGGACATGTACCGCCGCAACCAGGCGCTTGAACAGGAACTGCGGGCGCTGCGGGAGCCCCCCACACCCTGGAGTCCTCGGCTTGAGTCCTCCAAGATCTGAGGCCAGTGGAGCGAGCTGGCAGCAGAAGCACTGTCAGAAGACGGCTTGGACAAGCCCTCCCTGAGCTGGCCGGCTCCTTCCTTACATTGGTCTGGGGCAGAATCTGCTGAGGCCAGCCAGGGCTGGGGAGGCCCACCGAGAGGAGGGATCCAGTGGAGCTGTGGGCTGGAGAGGGTGCCAGCAGCAGGAGATGGGGCAAGCCCTCCTGGCAGAGGAGCACCCAGGCAGGGCCCAGCCCTGCTCCCTGGAGTAGGTGTGGCCCAGGGAAGGAGGTTGGGGAATGAAGAGCCCCATGATGCAGAAGGGCAGGCATGAAGGAGGCTGGGATGGGAGCATTGGCCTCCTCAGAATAAAACCATGTTTTCTATGAGGAGGCCTATCCCCAGCCTGAGTCTAGAGGATCCTGGATGGTTGCGGTGTGACCTGGGCTGTAGCTCCTCCTGTGGTCACGGTCAGTGGGAAGGTGTGCCCGTGCCTGGGTGCACAGCTGCTGGGTGTGTGGCTGGTGAGTGAAGGAATCTTATTGCCCCAGCACCACACGCTTCCTTACCTGCCGTGTGGGCTGAAATTCCTTCAACACCGGTAGGATTTTTCAGAAGGAACAATGCCAGGGAACCTAGGAAAACAAAAAGGCAAGTCAACCAAGGCATAAAAGAAAACCTTCTCCTGGTGGAAAGTCTGGGCGCCGGTGCCCAGGCCCCTGCTGGATCTGGGGCTGGCCTGAGACCACTTCCGCCGCAGCACCCAAAGGCTGCCCTGCCCCTCCCAGAACTCAGCGCCCATCTTCTGTCTGGCTGTGGTGTACCCTCCCTCCACAGGGGTCAGGGGGCCCTGGGGAGGCTCAGGAGACAAGGCAGAGAAAGCTGTGGGTCTCTTGGTAAAGAGCCTTTATCACTGCAAGGAATGTGGCCATTTCCTGTCCGCATGGAGGGCCGTGGCGTATTTTTAAGCAGGGGTGAGATGTGATCTGATCTGTATTCTGGAAAGCTTTGTCCTGGGAGGATGCAGCCTCCCTTCCCTGGCCCTGCACTGGGCTCCCTGACCATTGCTCTCAGGCAAGGTTGATCCTCGGCCCCCTGAGACCCCTCCCACCCCTGGCATCTCAATCTGGCTTTGGTCTTTTCTCCCCTCCTGGGGGGTGGTCTAGAGCACAGACCCCATCTGGCCGTGCAAGTGGTCTCTCCCCACCCCTCATGGTGATGTGTCATTGTGCGACTGCAGCCACGTGTCGAGTGCTCTCTGTGTGCTAGGTGCTGTGTTGGGCCGTCAGGGCAGGGGGCTCAGGGTTGCATTAGATGTCCTTCCTGCCCCAGGGGCCAGCACACAGACTTCTCCCCTCCCAGCTCCTGCCCGATGGGGCAGCAGTGCCCTCTGATGAGTTCTCCGCAGAGACCCTCCATTTGTTCTCTAGCTGCACTCCTGCCCTGCAAGGTCACGCCTGGCAGTCCCTTCAGGCCCCAGCAGGTGGGTCCTGCTGGGGAGTGGAGTTGCTGTGCAGCGATATGGATGGGGCTCTGGAGTGTGAGTCCATGTGCCCTGCCTTTTTAGGGCAGAGAGTGGGGTGTGTGAGTTGTCTGCCGTGGGGATGGTGTGTTTGTGGCCCAGTAAGTTGCAGGTGTGTGTAGAGACGTGCTGTGGGTAGTGGGTGTGTCTGGGGGTGTGTGTTTGGGGCTCCTGGGTTGGAGGACAGAGGGCTGCTTCCTGACAACTCCCTCTGCCCTGTTCCTTCCCACTAGCCCAAGCCCCTTTTAGCGCTGGTCAGGCTTGGGTGGAGCCTGTGGCCAGGACAGACCCCTGGGCCTAGCTGAGACTCACTTAGACCCACCCCTGAGGTCCTCTGCCTGAGGAGGGGAACGAGGAGCACCTGGCTTAGGCAGGCCTGTCCACCACAGGCCTTGGAACTCATTTCACAGACCCTCCAAACCAAGGTCTCTGGGCCAGTGACCCTCCAGAGGGGTCTCCCATAGCCAGGTGCTAGCCTGAAGCCTGGATCACTCCCTCCCCACAGCCTGGAGCTGGTGAGGCCGGGTATCCACGTGCCCCACAATGTCCAGGTTGGGTGCCCACATGCCCCATAATGGCTGGGGTCCGCCTTTTGGTGTACCGGCCCTGCAGAATAGCTCCCCACCCAGCAATTAGGGAGCTGGGCTGGCCAGTACAGCCAGTGGGGAGTGGGTAGGCGGTACCAAAACTTGGCAGCTGTGCCAGAAACCAAGGCCAGGCCCAAATGTAGGGGAGGGCTCAAGAGAGCCAAAGCTGGGGCCTCAGAGAGAACCGGATCCCTGTTAGCTCATCCTTGCTGGGCAAACCAGTTCCCGGTCCCCAAGCCGGCTGGGTGGCTCCAGGGCCAGCTGATCACAGGTGCCACTGTAGTGGCTACTACTTTAGGGCAGCCCCTCCCTCCTGCTCCTAGCAGGCCCCTCAGCTCCCCAGCTGCCCTCAGGCTCTCTTCCAGCCCACTAGGCCCAGGCAGCCAATTCACCAGAACTGTGGTGAGCTCTCCACACTTGGCTCTGCCCGTGGTCCTTCCTGTTCTTAGCTCAGATAGTGTCACACCTTCCAGCAGCTCCCCAGGCTCCTTAGCCTATCACTTGCAGCCTCCGACAGGCTGGCCTCCAGGGTCACTGACAGTGGTGCCCTTTCTGACCCCAGCAGCTCCTTGCAGCCCTCTGGGCACTCGTCTTCCAGGCAGAGCCCCCTCACGGTGCTCAGATCTTGCCTCCTCAGGGAAGCCTTTCCAGAACTCACGACCTGCCTGGGCAATCCCCTCTCCCTGTGCCCACAGCCCTCATTGTCCCCCCATCGGCTCTGTGCTGCTGGAATTGTTAGTTTGCCTCTGTCTCCAGTGGGCTGTGGGCATTGCTGGGGCAGGGCCACATCTGTTTTCATCTCTAGACCCCATTCTGGCTCCAGCCCAGAAGGCCCTTGGGGGCTTGGAGTCAAGAGGGACCAGACCCTTCCCCTAACTGATGGGTGCGGTGGGGCCAGTGGGGAAGGCTCCAACTCTGAGTGTTCAATCACCATTTGGGCACCTGGTCAGACCCAGTCTGTGCCAAGCATGAGCCCTCCAGAGCCGGTCGCCATTCATTGCACGGTGATGTACTCTGTGCCTCTGTTAGGGTCAGGCCTAGTTCCAGGTGAGGAAGCCGAGGTGGCTAAGGCCCCTGCCCCCATGGCCCTTCCCCATGAGTGGGGGAGGAGACAATACACACGTCAACAGTAGTGACCAGGCCAGAAGAGCAAAAACAGACTTGGGGACAACAGGTGGGCTTCCATGGTGGCAAGCAAGTCACAGAGCATGGAGAAGGCAGAGGGAGCCTGTCTGGGGGCATGAGTGTCAATTTCTCTGAGACTGGGGGGCTGTAGGTATTAGGGAGCCTTTCTAACAGTGCAGGCCCCACAGTGAGATTCAGATTGCGTAACCTTCTGCCCTAGTGGGTAGGCGCTTAGCTTTCTATATTGGATTCAGAAAAGAAAAAGAATATGGTGTTTCTTGCAACCAAAACAAAAGTGAAGTGTGTCATGAGAGTTGAGGCCCAAGTGCCATGGGAGGTCAGGAGAGCTGGCTCACTTATCACTCCAGGTGATGAGTGCGAGGGCTACAAAGTTTGACCAAACTTTGGTCAGGCACTTCTGAGCTCTCTTTTTGACTATGCCTGACCTTGGGCTCCTGTGTCCTTCCTTGTTTAATCCAGTTCTAGCAAGAATCCTGCTAAGTTAGTTTAGCGAGAATCCTCCATCCTCCATATCAGATCACCCTCTATATCTAATCTGGTTCCTCAGCCTCCATCATCGCCCAGGTGGGGTCTGACCACTTGGCCATGAGAATCCTGTGAGGTCCCTTTAGCCAGGATCCCCCCAGCCCCTGAGGTTTCCTTAGGAATTTGCCATCCGCTGACCCCCACCCTGCTCTTTGGCTGTAAATTCTGTTTTTCCTTGTCACGTGTGGTGTTGAGCTCTACTACAAAACCCCATTGAAGTAGCTGCGCCCCCCCCCCCACCCCCAAATAAAGTCTTCTTACCACTCTTTAACAAGTGTCATGAGGAATTTTTTCTTCCCCGGGGTAAGCTGCTCTGAAGAGGGAAAGTTCAGGGGCTTTCCTCCAGAGCAGCATGGGATGAGGGCACCCCAGGATGGACACAGGGAAGTGTGGGGCAGATCCACAGGAGGGTCCTGTCTGGAAGGGGTGAGAGGAGGCAAGACAGGTCCTGGACAGCCTCGTAAGCTGACACTGAGGACTTTACTTCCTGTGACTGTGGGTGTGATGAGGATTTTTAGGCTGGTTACTTTTAAAACTACAGATAAGAACCAGGCTCCAAGGAGTGGGATTTGTTTGCCCTTTGATCAGAGACAATTGCATTTGTGAAGGAAATCTCCATGCCTCCCTCTCTGCGCCAGGAGGAAGGGGGGATGGCCTTATGTCTGGAAACTCTTAATGGGGAAGGCAAGAACTTAAGTTGTTTACTGTCTGGCAACCTCATGTAACTGACCCCCCCACCCCAAAATCCTCCTTTGTCTTTAGTTGAAGATAATATTTGAGTGGTGACTTCTGCCATTTACTCAATCCGGTTTGATTCTTATCTAAAAGTTGTGGGACCGCCCAATGGCCGGACCCTACCGGCACTGGTACCATTTTAACTTCTTTTTTCTTTGTCTCGTAAAGAGATGACTCACATACCTATGCCTTAAATTTAGCCCTAACCCTCAACTCGGGGCAGCAGCAGGAGCTCTGACTGCCCGTGGGTCTTGTCCCCACGCACCAGCTCTGCCTGCCCATGGGCTCTGTCCCCATGCCAGCGGGGGCAGCAGAAGCGGCGGCAGCAGAAGCTCTGACTGCCCATGGGTCCTGTCCCCATGCTATTCTATACTATTCTCTAAATAAAAGAGCACTACTGCCAGATCTTAAGAGTCTAAAGAAATCTTTCTTTCGACTCCTCGGCTCACCGACCCCGCATCAGGTGGGTCCCTCAGACAGCCAAGGGAAAGGGCCAGAACCAGGACTAGCTTTATGTGTGTGTGACCTGTAGTCACACAGGGGCCCCCGCTCAGAGGGGCCCTACACTTGGTGTGACAGTACTCTGCTGTCCCATCTTGAAAAAGGGGCCTCACAGTTTCCTTTTTATCTGGGGCCTACAAATTATGTAGCTACTCCTAGCCTGAACCAAAGCCTTGCAGAGAGGAACAGGAACAGGGAGAAGGTGCAGGAGACAGGCTGGGAGCCACCTGTAGGGTAGAAGGAAGAGATGGCCTGAGTCGCAACTCTGGCTGCAGCTACTGAGCCCTGAGGTCCTAGGTTCCACAGAAGAGGACAGGGAGTGGCTGCATCGCCCACTGCTGCCGCACTCCACCAGTGGTCAGAGGAGGGTCCATCTTTTCCTAGGCTGGCCTTTCACTGGGTTTAGGTAGCAAGGGAGGCTGTATTTTCAGGAGAGCACTCCAGAGCTTGTCCTCACTGTCAAGAACCTTTAAAAAAAAAAAAAAAGATTTAGGGCCAGCCCCGGTGGCCTAATGGTTAAGTTCAGTGCACTCCACTTCAGCAGCCAAGGGTCAGTTCCCGGGTGTGGACCTACACCACTCGTCTGTCAGTGCCCACGCTGTGATGGCAGCTCACATACAAAAAGAGAAAGATTGGCAGTGGATATTAGCTCAGGGCCAATCTTCCTCGGAAAAAACAACACAAAACAAAATGATTTATATAGTGTCTTCTGTGTACCTGTCTCCTCCCCCCACTGTTAAGGTATAATTTACATACAGGAAAATTCACCCTTTTTAGGGTACAGTTTTTAGAGCTTTGACAAATGCAGAATTGTATGACCAACCGTACTACTAAGATGCGGATGAATTCCACCATCATTCCAAATTCCTCTGTGCCCCCCACAGTCAGCCTTCTCCCCGACCCCCAGGCACCAGCGATCTGCTTTCTCAATAACCTTGTGTTTCTTTTCTTTTGTTCCCTTTTTGTGAGCAGTGTTTAATCCCACCACATATTAGAACATATTACAAAGTAGCAATATGTAAAACATATAGTAAAACAATATGACATTGGTATAAACATAAAACTATACCTCAGGGGAAAAAATGAAGAGCCAGAAACAAATTCCATACTGTAGAAAATCTTCATACTATGACAAAAGGCTTCAAAACGAAAGGATAAGGAAGGATTACTTAATAAGAGGTGCTGGGGTAACTGGTCAAAAATGTGGGAAAAAATAAATCATACTTTTCACCACTCCCTGCAAAACAAAATGGACGTGTATTGAGAAGTTAAATTTAAAAAGTCAAATTGTAGGAAACTAGCAAGAGGTTAAACAGACTAAGTTGGTGGAGAACAGCTAAGTGTTTCTGCTTTGTAGCAGCAACCCCCCCACCCCCAACAAAAACAAAACGCACACACAATTCTAACCAGGAAAGGATGACAAAATCAGCTATGTAGCAAAACTTGGTGCCTCCTGAAAAGTTACAAAACTGCAATGCAAGGAGAGCCACATGCTGGGGAAACCACGACAGCGGTGAAAGGGGCCCCCGCGCCAGCGGCGCCAGCGGCGCATTCAAAGTTCTTGGAGAAGCCGGGCTTTACTCACACCCAGCGTGGCTGTGAGGCAGGCCAGGGCTCCCCGAGAGGAAGTGGGGAAGCCTGGGGCGTCCGCGAAAGCCTGTGAGGTCCTGTTGGCTCCGAGGCGGCTTCAGCCTCGGCCCCGTGGCCCCAGGCAAGGTTTGCTCAACCTACCACCTCCGCGGCTCCCGCGTGGGCCAGGACCACCCATGCTCTCCAAGCACAGACAGGCCTCTCCGGGATGCTCTCATGCCCCGCGGGCTCCCCACAGGGCTGTGGACCGCCCTCTCCCCTACTCATTTCGTCAGGTGGAGGACATTGGCTACCTCAGAATATTTCTGGGCACCTCCTGTGTTCCAAGCACATGGTGTTGAGGATACAGCAGTGATGCGTACAAAGTCCTGGCTCCAATGGAGCTTTTATCCTAAAGGGGGAAAGGTGTTAGGGGCAGGAAGACAGAGTAAATAAATCAACACACAAGATAATTTCAAGTCAAATGTTATAAACAAAACTGGATTGCGCAAGCGCTATAGAGAAAACAGAACAAGATTGTCAAGGATGTTCGGGCGTGGGGAGGAAGCAAGGAGGGTTGGAGGAAAGGATGCCCTGGAATGGGACTGCTCCAAAAGGAAGCAGGAAGTCAAAGTAACACACTGTTTAATGCCTCCCGGGCTGTTTCTAGTCCAAGTCCCTAAGGTCTGTGGAGGGGTGGGAGCTTCTCTGCCCCTTCCCTCCAGAGCAAGGGGCCGGGGAGGAAGGTGAATTCAGTCCTGGGCTGGGTCTGGGGTCACCGCCTCTTCTCGTCTCTGCCTCTCACTCTCCTCAGGGCAACTGTGTAACCCCCGTCTCCCCCTAGCCCCCAAGGGGAGCGACCAGTGGACGGCGGCAGGGCAGAAGCTAGGTCCGCCCCAGCAGAATCTAATTCTCCCGCTGAATGAATGCCCGGTGGGTAGATTAAGTACTGGATTAGGGGGATCAGCAAGGCTGCATCATTTGATGTTTGAAAAAGAGCCTCAAGGAGCCCCGCAGGAAAGCCTGACATTGGCACCCGGGCCTCGTGCTGCTGGGTATTGTCCTTCCTCGAACGCGGCGGCAGTCCTCGCCGGTGGGACTGCGGAGAGCGGCGCCGTGGCTGGTGCGCCCGCGGGCCGGCGGGGCCTCTTCCGGGGGGGGAAGCCGCGCCCTGCGCACCCGCCGGCCCGCGAGCGCTCGGTCGAGGCCTACCCGCCGCCGGGGCGAGCTGCGACCCGGCCGCGGGCTTCCGGCGCGCGGAGGGAGCTCGCGGGGGGCGGAGCGGGGCTCGCGGGCAGCAGCCCCTCCCGCCGCCGCCAGTGGGCGGGTCCGCGCCGCCGGGCAACGGCCGCCGCTTCCGGTTCCGATGACAGCGCGCCGGAAGCCAGGGCCGGGCGCCGAGCAGGTGGGAGCCGGCGGCTTCCTGGCCGGCCGGGCGAGCGGGGGTGGGGTGCCTGGCGGCGGGCGGGTGGCCGGCTGCCGAGCAGCGGGCCTGGCCCTCTCGGGAGCCCCCCGACGACGCCCCGCCCTTGGCTTGTTTTCTCAGCAGTCGTCGGCCCGGGCCGGGAGCTGGAGCCCCACAGACTCCCAGGGCCGTCGAGGAGCCGCCTCTGCCGGGGGAGTCGCTCGAACTCAGACGTCCCATCCTAGAGCGACCCGCCGGGTCGGAGGTAACTCAGCCCAGATGTGAGGGCCAGGCATGGCGTGCGAGCAGGGTCTTTTGAAGGATGAGTTGGAGTTTGCCAGTCACTTGCACATTAATGTAGGTGAAACTCCCAGTAGGGGCTAATGACAAAAGAAGGATTTGAAACTTCACATAGAGATGTGCAATGAAGAAAAGGAACTGGGTGATATGATCGAGTGACTAGTGGGGGGGTGGGGCAGAGGGTCAGCGTTAGATACTGTGGTCTAGGAGAGCATCTCTGAAGAGATGACGTGTGCACTGAGACCGTACTAAGCAGCCAGCCATGGAAAGATCTGGGCAAAGAATGTTCCAGGCAGAGAAAACAGTCAGTGCAAAGCCCCTGAGGCAGAAATTAACTGGATGTAGTCAAGGAACAGAAAGAAGGCTAGTGTGGTTGGATTGTGGCAAGTGAGGGGGAGAGTGGTAGGAGATGAGATTGGAGAGGTGGTTGGGAGTCGACTCACATAGCATCTGGTAGGCCATAAAAAGGAGAGTGGACTTCATTCTAAGTATAATGAGAATCTATTGGGTTTTAAGCAGAGGAGTGATGTGTAGGGTGGAGAATGGATAGAGGTGGGGGGTGCAAAAGAATAAGTGTTGGGTCGACGGAGGCTGCCCAAATTCTGTGTCAGGCAAATTTCTATGATTTGCACAAACTTCCCTTCTTCCTCCTTGCCCCAGAAGGGACCCTGTTGTTTCAGGGTGCTGAAGACTGGGGACAAAACCTCCACGCATGCCTTGATGGAGATTTTAATATTTCACTCATGTCTCTTCCTGCCCACCTGCCCCAGGTTTGAGCTCAGGCTCCCTAGCCCAGGGGTTAGGAAATGGCTGCACGGTGTAATGAGCAAATGTTCACTGAGCACCAGCTGTGGACCAGGTCCTGGGCTGGCACTGAGGGGAGAGAGAGGACGAGACTGGACTCCAGGCCTAAGCAGCTCCGGGTCCAGTCAGGGGAGACAGACATGTGATCAGGCACTTACTGTGCCACAGTGCTGAGGACCCAGATGCGTGTGGCATGGGCGTTCTCGACAGGTTTCTGTTGCAGAGAAGGAGGCAGGGAGATCTCGCTGAGGGCCTCGTGGGCAGCTGGTAATTAAACCGCATCTCATGTTCTGCATGCAGAGAAGTGCAGAGGGCACTCCGGACATAGGAAAGGCTTGTGCAAAGGAAGCGAATGCCCAGTTACACAGGGCTTGTGTGTCAGGCCCCGGCAGTGTTGAGAGGGGGATAGGATCTGATGTGTTGTCTTGGGGGGATCACCCTGCTAGATAATTTCTGTACATGTGAGACCTTGGGGAGGAAGGCTTAGGACAATGGACATGAAATTCCATTGGATTAATCATGCAGTTTGTCAAAGACAAAGACAAACTCAGCCATCCTTGTGCCTGGTGAAGGTGGCCCGCTGAGCCAGGCACTGTGGCTCACCCTGGACGGACTGAATCAGCCTCCTGGGCTTTTTGGATGGAATACTCGCAAACAGTTCTGTTTTCCCAGCTCATTTGTTTTATTTTTAAATTTTTTATTGAGTTAATCACACTTCTCAGTTCTTTGTACATTTAATTGGCCCATGCAGGGCCATTTTCTCCTTTGTATTTATCCATTTATTCCTTTTTTTTTTTTTTAAAGATTTTATTTTTTTTCCTCAAATCCCCCCGGTACATAGTTGTATATTCTTCGTTGTGGGTCCTTCTAGTTGTGGCATGTGGGACGCTGCCTCAGCGTGGTTTGATGAGTAGTGCCATGTCTGGGCCCAGGATTCGAACCAACGAAACACTGGGCCACCTGCAGCGGAGCGCGCGAACTTAACCACTCGGCCACGGGGCCAGCTGCCCCATTTATTCCCTTTCATCCCCATTCTTCCCTTCTCTCACCATAGGAAACCACTCAGATGTGTTTGGTGTATTTCCATTTATTTACATCCTTGGTTGTATGCATATATTTTCTTTTTTTTTTGAGGAAGATTAGCCCTGAGCTAACTACTGCCAATCCTCCTCTTTTTGCTGAGGAAGACTGGCCCTGAGCTAACATCCATGCCCATCTTCCTCTACCTTATACATGGGATGCCTACCACAGCATGGCTTTTGCCAAGCGGTGACATGTCTGCACCCAGGATCGGAACCGGCGAACCCCGGGCCACCGAGAAGCGGAACGTGTGAACTTAACCACTGCACCACCGGGCCGGCCCTAAAACTTTTTATTTTTGAGGAAGATTAGCTCTGAGCTAATTGCTGCCAATCCTCCTCTTTTTTGCATATATTTTTAATTTACATAAATGATATTTTGCCTAGAGTTCATTTTCTTTTTCCCCCTCAAGACCGTGTTTTGGGATCTTAGTGAGGTTGCTGTGGGATTATGTGGAACATGGTTTCTAAATGCTACCCGGGTTTCTGTAGATGCATCCCCCCATCCTATTTCCTTGGCTTATCAGTTCCCCTAGTGATGAGGCCCTAGGTTGTCTCCCGCTCCCCGCTACAACACACAATGCTGGGATGAGGATCCTTGGACCCATCCCCTTCCTCAGCTTTTTTTTTTTAAGATTGGCACCTGAGCTAACGACTGTTGCCAATCTTCTTCTTTTTTTCTTCTTTTTCTCCCCAAAGCCCCCCAGTACAGCATCGTATATTTCAGTTGTGAGTCCTTCTAGTTGTGGCATGTGGGATGCCACCTCAGTGTGGCCTGATGAGTGGTGCCCTGTCTGCGCCCAGGATCCGAACTGGTGAAATCCTGGGCCGCCGAAGCGGAGTGCACAAACGTAACCACTCTGCCACGGGCCGGCCCCTTCCTCAGCTTTTTAATACAATTTCGAGATGCTGACTTGGGCTTCCCTCTGATGATCCTGGTATCACTTGGTGTCTGACCTTGGTGAGGTCCTGACCTTTCTTGAGCTGTGTTTATTTTTGGTCAATTGTGATTCTGGTTCCCAGACACTCTTGGCAAACATTCTTTTGTGCTGTCATCTTTCCTTGTTGATCATCTCAGAGGCTCTGTGGTTAATTTCCTGTTTCTTGTCATCATTAATCATTGCCGTACACTATTCTAACCACAGACACTGGCTGCTTTCCTTTCCTGGTGAGACAGTGGCCTGTGAGCCTGGTCCAGAGAGGCCTGTGATCTGAGGTGCTTCATAGAAGGGCTCTGGAGCAGACTGCCCGGCTTCAGTTCCCAGGTCCTCTGCCTCCCCACCGCATGACCCTGGGCAACTTATTTAATCTTTCTGCATCTCATATTCTCATCTGTAAAGGGTCTCATTGTACCTACCTCATAGTGTTTTAGAACTAAGTAAAGTAGTTAATGTATGCAAAGTGATTAGCACAGTGCCTGGCACATAATAAACCCGTAAGAAATGTTCACTACTAATAGCAATATTAATAATGATTACAGTATTTCAGATAGGAGTCCCTGTTATATTTGGCCGAGAATGGCTCATATCCAGTTATAGTGTGTTTGCTCAAGGGCCGTGAAGAGGAGGGCATGTCTTCTGTACACCATGATTACAAATTCTAGTGTGAGCATCAAGCCTAAGGAGGGAAGGCATATACATATCTCAAGGCCCTGGATGCTGTTCTCTGATTGTTCATGTCCTGCCTGGTAGGGAGACAGTGTCCACAGGCTGGGCTGAGATGTTGAGGCCAGGACTGACGGTGCTGGTGAGAATGGGAAGAGAGTCTGGTGAAACTGCGGTAAGCCTGATGGTCACCTTGAACACAGGATTATCTTTGCAATGTAACTCTATCCTCTTTGACAGAATGGACAACTGAGTAGATCTGAACATTCAAGAGAGCCCTCTCATTTCCAATCCCAGATGGAAGGCTGGAGAGGGAAATCAACTCTGTCACCAACATTCTTTTTTTTTAAGATTTTATTTTTCCTTTTTCTCCCCAAAGCCCCCGGTACATAGTTGTGTATTTTTAGTTGTGGGTCCTTCTAGTTGTGGCATGTGGGACGCCGCCTCAGCATGGCTTGATGAGCAGTGCCATGTTCATGCCCAGGATTCGAACCGGCGAAACCCTGGGCCACTGAAGCAGAGCACGCGAACTTAACCACTTGGCCACTGGGCCAGCCCCTGTCACCAAGGTTTTGAGGATTGTCCATGTGTTTAGTGTCAAATGCTGCTCTGAAATGGAGGGGAGCAGTGGCCCAGGGTAGAAGGGACTTAGGAAGGGGGCCTCAGTGGTAGGAAAGATGGGACAAGGAAAGTCAACTTTCTTTCAATGGTATAATGAGGAGGGAAGGTGGTGTTACAACAAGAGATGTTCTAGTGTGATCATGGAGGCAGGTCCTCAAACACATCACTACCCAGTGATCAAAAGTGAAATAGAAGGGTGCCAAGTCAGAGTGGAGAGAGCCAGGTGGGGACAGGTAGGGACAGCTGCTGAAGGAGCTGACCTCTGAGCTGACTCAGAAAGGATGAGCCAGCTTCTCAAGCAGTTGAGGAGGTGAGGGGTAATGGAGAGCATACCAGGGAGAGGGAGCAGCTGAACCAGGGCACAGAGCTGTGAGGGAGCAAGGATTCCAGCTGGCTGGACACAAGCTGCCTGTCCATGGGCGAGCAGGGTGGGACTGAGGCTGGAGTGGTGGGCGAGGCCCATCAGGCCTGTGTGGTCAGCAGTTGTTCCTTAGGCTACGTTTCAAAATATCAGCCATTCGTGGACTGCTGTTGCGGCTTCTGTCACTGGAGTACATGGAAAACCAAGTCCACTAACTGAAGAGAAGGTGACCATAATGAGTAGATGAAAAGATGCACTATATGTATGGATTTCTAGTTAGCATTGCCTACTGAGGGCTCTCTAAGACCTGCTCTCTCTTCTCTTGACTAAAAAGAGATGAACAAGGATTATAGAATGAAAAGAGTTGAATACAGAGTAATTTTCTCACCATGATTCAAAAAACCCCTGTCCTCACTCTGCCTGCACCCTACACAGGGCACCCTGGCTGGGGGTGATGTGAGCTGTGGACAGATATGTTAAGCTGGGAATTCCTGGGCAGTGATATATGATATGGGTACAGTGAGGGGATAGGGAGCCCTCCCCACCATGCCCCCCTGGCCCAGGTGCAGCCTGATGCAGTGGACACTCCCCTCCCCGCAGTCCGAGGCCGCCATGGAGCAGTGTGCGAGCGTGGAGAGAGAAGTGGACAAGGTCCTGCAGAAGTTCCTGACCTACGGGCAGCACTGCGAGCAGAGCCTGGAGGAGCTGCTGCACCACGTGGGCCAGCTGCGGGCCGAGCTGGCCAGCGCAGGTGGGTGTCCCCCACGAGAGCCCCACACCTGCCTCCCTGTGGGCTAGGGGGCCCTGAGGCTACTTGGTGACAAGGCTCTGGCAGGATGATTGTTAGGACACTGCTACATGGATCCCTAGGCCGCTGTGAAGGGGAGTAATTTCAAGAGCTCAACAGAAACTATTGATTTACCTGAGATTATTTTCATTTACATTTTGTTTTATTTGCTTTTCTTTTAAATTTTTAAGACACTTTAAGATAATTTCAAATTTACAGAGAAGTTCCAAGAATAGTATAAAGAACTCATATATACCCTTCACTTAAATTCACCAACTGCTAGTATCTTACTGTATTTGCTTTATCAGTTCTCTTGCATATTCTTACTGCCTTTTAACCATTTGAAAGTCAGTTGCAGATATCATTCCTCATTGCTGCTAAACCTTCAGTGTGTATTTCCTATGATGAAGGGCATTCTTTTATATAAATACAGTATAATTATTCAAATCAAGAAATTTAACATTAATATTATGACCTAATGAATGTAGCTCATATTTTAATTTTGCCATTGTCTGATAATTTGCAGAAAGCATTTTAATTTTTTTCTCCAGTCCAGGATCCAATTCAGGATCAAAGCCTGCATTTAGTTTCTCATGTCTCATCCTTAGTTTTTAATCTGGGATGTTTCCTCCACCTGCCGTTGTTATTCATGACGTTGACATTTTGAAGCATTAGGGCAATGAGTCTGCAGAATCTCTCTCTGTTTGGAGTTGTCAGCTGTTTCCTCGTCATTCAGGTTTTGCATTTGGGCCAGGAGTACTTCAGAAGTGACGTGATGCTCAGCACGTCACATCGGGAGGTACAAGGAGTCAGCTTGTTCCATTATTGGGATGTGAACTTTGATCACTTGGTTAAGATGGTGTCTGCCAGGTTTCTCCACATAAAGTTAGTATTTCTTTCTTTAGAGTTAATTAGTAAGTAATTTGTGGGGAGATACTTTGAGACCATGTAAATATCCAGTGCTTCATCAAACTTCAGCCCACTCATTTTAGCATCCATTGATGATTCTTGCCTGAATCAATTGTTACAAGGCTGAATGCAACATGGGTGATTTTTCCTGCTCTGTCATTCCTTATATATTTATTAGTTGGCATTCCGCTTTCCTTTCTCCCCTTATTTATTTATTATCAGTTCACACTTATAGATTCCTATTTATTTAATGAGTTATAATCCATTACTGTTATTATTTATTTTGATGCTCAAATTGTCTTAGATTTGATCAGAGGTAATCCCTGGTTCCTATGTCCTTTTTTTAAAAAATTGAACTATAACTCACATTAAAATTCACCCTTTTTTTTTTTTGAGGAAGATTAGCCCTGAGCTAACATGTGCTGCCAATCCTCCTCTTTTTGCTGAGGAAGACTGGCCCTGAACTAACATCCATGCCCATCTTCCTCTACTGTCTGTGGGACGCCTGCCACAGCATGGCTTGCCAAGCGGTGCCATGTCCACACCCAGGATCCAAACCGGCGAACCCTGGGCCTCTGAAGCGGAATGTGTGCACTTAAGTGCTGCGCCACCGGGCCAGCCCCTAAAATTCACCCTTTAAGAGTGTACAGTTCAGTTATTTTTAGTATATTTACAGAGTTGTATAGTCATTACCCCTATCTAATTTCAGAAGACTTTCATTACCCCAAAAAGAAATCCTACCCATTAGCAGTTAATCCATTCCTGCCGCACCCCAGCCCCTGGAAACCACCAGTCTACTTTCTCTCTGTGGATTTACCTCTTCTGGACACTTCACATAAATGGAATCAGACAATATGTGGCCTTTTGTGTCTGGCTTCTTTCACTTAGTGTAATGTTTCAAGGTTCACCCCTGTTGTAGCATGAATCACTACTTCATTCTTTTTTCTGCACTGGGTCGTATGGTAACTCTCTGTTTAACTTTTTTTTTTTAAAGATTTTATTTTTCCTTCTTCTCTCCAAAGCCCCCCAGTACATAGTTGTATATATTTTTAGTTGTGGGTCCTTCTAGTTGTGGCATTTGGGACACCACCTCAGCATGGCTTGATGAGTGGTGCTAGGTTCGTGCTCAGGTCTGAACCAGTGAAACCCTGGGCTGCCGAAGTGGAGCACGTGAACTTAACCACTTGGCCACAGGGGTGGCCCCTCTGTTCAACTTTTTGAGGAACTGGCAAATTGTTATCCAAATGTAGCTGCAACATTTTAACATTCAGTATACATTCAACCAACAATGTGTGAAAGTTCCAGTTTCTCCACATCCTCACCAACACTTGTCTTTTTGATTATAACCATCCTAGTGGATATGAGGTGATATGTTATTGTGGTTGTGCTTTGCATTTCTCTAATGACTAATGATGTTGAGCATCTTTTCATGTGCTTGTTGCCTATTTGTATATCTTCATTGGAGAAATGTCTATTTACATCCTTTGCTCATTTTTTAATTGAGTTATTTGTCTTTTTATTGTTGAGTTGTAAGAGTTCTTTACATATTCTTGATAGTAGTCCCTTACTAGATGTAGATGGACCAATATATTCTGTCCTGTGGGTTGTCTTTTACTTACTCGATAGTATCCTTTGAAGCACAAAAGTTTTTAATATTGATGGAAATCCAAGATATTTTTGCTCTGGTCGCTTATGCTTTTGTTGTCATATCTAAGAAACCGTTGTGATCCATGGCCATGTGGATTTACACCTCTGTTTGTCTAAGAGTTCTGTAGTTTGGGCTGTTACACTTGAGTTTTTGATCCATTTTGAGTTAATTTTTGTATATGGTGTAAAGTCCAACTTCATTCTTTTGCATGGGGGTATTCAGTTGTCTCAGCACTATTCTTTTTCCTCCTATATCCTTTTGACATGGCCCATCTTTTATATTTATTATTTGTTGTTTTCTTTTTGCACATCCTTACTTTCTGGCACAGCAAGATATTCCCTGGAATCAGTAATTTCTGCACGTAGCCCTGGTTCTTTTGGTGGGAAATTGTATTTGGAAACCATCATTGGGTTATTACGCGGGTGTCACTGTTTCTAGGTTCTTTAGCACATGGATCTATCTGTCTATCTGTCTTTATTTATATATTGCAGACCATGAATTTATACTATACCTTCAATTCCAATCCAATGTCACAGGTCCTTCCTAGACTGCCCCCAACCACAGCTGTACCTCTCTTCTCCAATAGTGAGAAACCTCACGGCCAACATGGTCAATATATTTCTCATTGCTCAGTTTCTACATACATAGAAAGTATTTTCAGAATTGCTACACCTAGTACCACTGAGAAAAACAAATCTACAAAGTAGAGTTTGTTACCTTTTTATTTATTTTTAAAGAAAGCATGCACGTGAAAAAGACTTCAAGGTCAAAAACGTTTACAGTGAAAAGTGAGTCTCTCTTTCCTCCTTCATTCCCAGTTCCTGTGTGTCCCTCCCCAAAAGTCAGCCCCGTCCTGTTTCTCAGGTGCCCCTCAGGCAGCACCTGTGTGCATACGTAGGTCTGTGTATGTGTCTATCCTCCCTCCTTTTTTTTTTTAACACAAAGGGTAGCATCAAGTATATACTTTCCTGCACCTTGCTTTTTCCCTACACAGTCTGTCTTGGAGAGTGTTCTATATCAGCACATAGAATTCTGTCTCATTCTTGCACCGAGTTGCTTGGCATTCCACTGTGGTTGTGCCATGCTGTGATAAATGCCCAGGTGTCTTTGCTTTTGATGGCATCTGTTAACTGTGTGTGATGGAAATGGTTTCTCTTGCTGGTCTGAAGCTCATTTGCATTGTCTATGCTCTTGGATGCCAGATGATGTTATGGCTGCAGTGTGTTTCTAGGGAGACCGTCTCTCCCTAGATAGGGATTTGTCGGGGCTAACGTTCGTCACTGGGGTCCTTGGGTGGCGGAGAGTTGGGGATTCCAGGTTAAAAGGCTTTGGTTTCCTGAGAGCTGTGCTTTGTCCTTAAGGGGCTGTGGCCAAAGAATATGCAGTGTGGCCCTCTGCGACCTGTGGGAGCGAATGTGGGAAATGAGTGGCAAGCTGGGCTTTGGGAGGGCATTGCTGATGCTGGGAGCGGAATGTGGCTCTGCCCCATCTCCCTAGAGTAGGTGGGTGGTCCAACCACTGCCTCCTGTTTGTATTTGTTGGGACTCATTCAGTTATGAGGGCCAGAAACCCAGCTCAGACTAGCTTAAACAAGCAAACAAACAAAAGTGGGGCTGGATCACGGGCTCAGGTAACTGAAACGTCTAGCCCAGCTGGATCTAGTGGCTTAGGTGACCCCTCACTCTGCCGGCCTTATCTCAGAGTGGTGCTCCCCAGATGGCCATAGTGCTCCAGCAGCTCCAGTTCACGTTGTGTTTGTTTGGAAACCTGGCAGAACACATCTCCCTTCCAGTCTCAGGACTGAGACGTTCCCTGGCCCTCCTGGGTCACCTTCCCTTCCTTGGGTCATGTTTCCTTCCCGGAACTGAGGTGCTGCCATCTAAAGAAGAGGTGTAGGTGCTGGGCTCGAAGAGGGGACTGATGGCCTGTCTGCCCTCCTCTTGTCCAAGCCCATGTGCTCTTGGCAGTCGGTGTGGCTTCAGCCTGGCCATGGTGGTGGATCACAGCAAGCCTGGTGTCCTGAGCCAGAAATGTCCCTGAGCTTCCCTGGCAGACCCCGGCCTGCCTGGTGTCCTCTGGGTTGATAAGAGACATTAATGTGGGGACAGTGCTTGACGGTTCAAAGCCTTCTCACACGTAGTCTCTCACTCAAGATAATAAGGAGCCATCTGGTGTGGTCGCGGGGAGTCTGGGCTTTATATCTGTGACTGCCATGTGACCTGGCAAGTTGCTGCCTCAGCTATAGGACGGGATACTGACAGTGCCCACTGCATAGCATGGTGGGAGGATTAAATGAGCTGCAGTGAAGTACTGACCCACAGTAAATGCCAAATGATCTTCACTTCACAGCGAGCGGCAAGGCTGCTGCTATACCCACATTTTACAGATAAGGAAACGAAGACTCTGAGAGATGAACTGGCCTGTCCCCCTTGACCAGTTCCAAGTCATGCAGTTACAAAGTGGCAGGACCTGGGATAGAAGCTGGGTCTCACCCTGGAGCTCAGTGCTACCTCCCAGGCCTCTGTTCTGGCATTTAGAATAAGGAAGCAGGGACAAGTCTGCTCCTCTGTGTCCTGACTCATTGCCAGTGTTTCTCTGCAGCCCTCCAGGGGACCCCACTCTCAGCCACCCTCTCCCTGGTGATGTCCCAGTGCTGCCGGAAGATCAAAGACACCGTGCAGAAACTGGCTTCGGACCACAAGGACATTCACAGCAGTGTCTCTCGAGTGGGCAAAGCCATTGACAGGGTGAGAATGGGGGCAGGCCTGGAGCGGGGACGGGAATCCGTGGCATTGGTGTGTACCCAGGCTCATCAGGAGAGCAAGTGTGAGAAGTGCGAGTGCTGAGTCACAGGGCCCTGTCTCTCGTCCTTGTCAGAACTTTGACTCTGAGATTTGCGGTGTGGTCTCCGACGCAGTGTGGGACTCGCGGGAGAAGCAGCAGCAGATCCTGCAGATGGCCATCGTGGAGCACCTGTACCAGCAGGGCATGCTCAGCGTCGCTGAGGAGCTGTGCCAGGTAACGACCAGAGGGAGGGTGCTGGAACCTGCCTGCTTTGCCTTCTACTTGATAGTTTCCTTTATATTAGGTCTCTCTTATTCTTTTTTTTTTTGTCATATCCAGACAAGTCGATTTGTTTACATGACTCAGATGTGTTGTGTCATTGCCTCTCATAGACTGATGGGGATGCCCATTCCCGGAGACTAGGCAATGGGCAGGAGGCCCGGCAGGGCATCCTCTCCCTGGACTGTGCCCGGGCAGTCCAGTTTTCCCTAAGACCTCTCCTTTAGTTGGCTTCCGTTGGAGACCAGCTCCTTTCTGACTGATGCATTCTTTACTTAAATGGGCTAATATCTTTTCTTAATTCAATTTATTTAAACTTAAAAAAAAACCATTCAACTATTTCTCCATCCCCCTACTCCCCGCCTCTGGCAACCACCTATCTGTTCTCTGTATCCATGAGCTTGTGTTTTGTTGTTTTGGGTTTTTTTACTTTTTTTAGATTCTATATATAAGTGAGATCATATGGTATTTTTTTTTTCTCTGTCTGACTTATTTCACTTAGCATAACGCCCTCGAGGTCCATTCATGTTGCAAATGGCAAGATTTCATTCTTTTTTACGGCTGGGTAACATATATATGTATAAATACCACATTTCTTTGTCCTCTCATCCGTCATTGGGCACTTGGGTTGCTTCCATCTCTTGGCTATTGTGAATAACTGCAGTGAACGTGGGGTGCAGATGTCTTTTCGATTAGTGTTTTCATTTCCTTCAGATATTTTCCCAGAAGTGGAATTACTGGATCATATGGTAGTTCTATTTTTAATTTTTTCAGGAACCTCCATACTGTTTTCCATAGTGGCTGCACCAATTTACATTCCCACCAACAGTGCACAAGGGTTCCCTTTTCTCCACATCCTTGTCAAGACTTGTTATTTCTTGTCTTTTTTTTTTCTTGCAGGGGAAGATTCGCCCCAAGCTAACATCTGTTGCCAATCTTCCTCGTTTTTTCTTCCTTTTCCCCTGCCAAAGCCCCAGTACATAGTTGTGTATAGTTGTAAGTTCTGGTTCTTCTATGTGAGCTGCCACCACAGCATGGCTACTGACAGATGAGTGGTGTGTTTCTGTGCCTGGGAACCAAACCCGGGCCACCAAAGTGGAGTGCATCAAACTTTAACTGCTAGGCCATCGGGGCTGGCTTGATTTCTTGTCTTTTTGATGACAGCCATTCTAACAGATGTCGGGCAATATCTCACTGTGGTTTTGATTTGCATTTCCCTGATGATTAGTGATGTTGAGCACCTTTTCATGTACCTGTTGGCCATCTCTATGTCTTCTTTGGAAAAATGTCTATTCAGATTTTCCACCCTTTTTTGTTTTGTTTTTGTTGAGGAAGATTCGCCCTGAGCTAACATCTGTGCCAACCTTCCTCTATTTTGTATGTTGGTTGCCACCACACATGGCTGCCAACACGTGGTGTAGGTCCACATGGGGAACCAAAGTGGGCCAGCAAAGTGGAGCACATCGAGCTTAACCACTAGGCCATGGGGCTGGCCCCCGCCCATTTTTTAATCGTATTTTTTTTTCCTGTTGAGTTATATGGATTCTTTATATGTTTTGGATATTAGCCCCTTATCAGATAATATGATTTGCAAATATTTTCTCCTATTTGGTAGGTAGCCTTCTCAATTTGTTGATGGTTTCCATTGCTGTGCAGAAGCTTTTTAGTTTGATGTGGTCCCACTTGTTTTTTCTTTTCTTTTTCTTTTTTCTTGAGGAAGATTAGCCCTGAGCTAACTAGGGCCAATCCTCCTCTTTTTGCTGAGGAAGACTGGCCCTGAGCTAACATCCCTGCCCATCTTCCTCTACTTTATACGTGCGACGCCTGCCACAGCATGGCTTTTGCCAAGCGGTGCCATGTCTGCACCCAGGATCCAAATCAGGGAACCCCAGGCCACTGAGAAGCAGAACGTGCGAACTTAACCGCTGCACCACTGGGCTGGCCCGTCCCACTTGTTTATTTTTGCTTTTATTGCTTCTTTCAATAAATTTATTTTAGAAAGGAAATCAGTCCCTGGCAATAAAAAGAAGGTAGCTGTAAAAATATATACGATGGAAAGTGAAGTTATTAAATTTCTAGCTAGAGTTGGTTACCAGCCAGGGTTGAGTTAAGGCCTGATATGTCTTTCTTAAAAAAGGAGATTAGTAAAATGACAAAGTAGCACTTGTTAGGTGTTAAAGACAAACTGGCAGTAAAAGTAAAGGATACTTTCTCTTAATGTAATTAGGAGGGTTGAAAACGAATAATTTTCTCACCATGCTATTCAACGTGGGTCTCCAGTACCGCAGGGGTGCGGTGGGGTTTGTAGTCTGCCAACTGGGAAGCCAGCATGTAGCACTCAGCCTCTCAGAACTGAAATGGGGCCCGAGCAGCTGGCAGGAGACCACAGCTCCCTATGCAAACACCGGCTCTCCAGCCTGCCTTTGGTGGATGGGTTTTATTAAGCACAGAGCAGAGGATTATGGAAACACTATCCTCCTGTGGTAGGACTGCTCTCTCCCCCTACAGGAATCAACACTGAATGTGGACTTGGATTTCAAGCAGCCTTTCCTGGAGTTGAATCGAATCCTGGAAGCTCTGCATGAACAAGACCTGGGGCCAGCATTAGAGTAAGTTGGCCCTTGGGTGGACCAGCAGGGGACAAGGCTTGTCTGTGATCTTCACTCACCCAGTGTGACATGCCTTGACACACCTCCATCCCTGTCTCGTGGGCCTCACGTAGGCTTGTGGAGCCCACATCTCAGACCCAGCTCTGCCAGGGCCCCTTCTCCCACCCCACCAGCTCCACACTCAACTGGCCCCGTTCTTCCCAGATGGGCCGTCTCCCACAGGCAGCGCCTGCTTGAGCTCAACAGCTCCCTGGAGTTCAAGTTGCACCGACTGCACTTCATCCGCCTCTTGGCAGGTGGTCCTGAGAAGCAGCTGGAAGCCCTCAGCTACGCCCGGCATTTCCAGCCCTTTGCTCGGCTGCACCAGCGGGGTAAGTGCCCAGCGTGCTGGGGTGGACACTGCTGGGCTCCGACAGATGTCAGCATGTGTCAGATTGCCAGTCCCTGCCCCACATGGGGCTACATGTTACCAGGATGCCTCTCCCACCCTGAGTTACTCTGACCCCTCCCTCATTGTCTCCCCGGTGAACTCCAGACTCGGGATTCTTCCTCACCTGCCTCTGCCAACCCCTCTAGCCTCAGCTCAGACCACCTCTGGTTGCCAAATGCCTGCCGTGTGCCACACCCACACTCAGAGCACACTGGGCCTGTGCGCTCACAACACGTGTGGCCTCATGCTCCTCTGCCTGAGCATGGGCCACTCCCACCTAGAACTCCACTTGTGTCCCTAAGACTCACTGGGCACCTCCTCTACAGCTTCTTTCCTGAGCCCTCTTCCATCACACTAGGATTTCCAAATCTGTCATTTAAGTCTCACCTTCCAGAAGGTCAGTTAGTAATCACCCTACTGCCAGTAACTTTTGTCTTTAGCTCCACTCATATTATTACTTCACATTTTATTTATTTATTTTTTGGTGAGGAAGATTGGCCCTGAGCTAACATCTGTGCCCATCTTCCTCTCTTTTGTATATGGGACGCTGCCACGGCATGGCTTGATGAGCGGTGTATAGGTCTGTGCCCGGGGTCCAAACCTGTGAACCCCAGGCCGCCGAAGCAGAGTGCACGAACTTAACACTATACCACCAGGCTGGCTCCTATTACTTCACATTTTATAGACATCAGGAAAAGCGAGCAATGTTGTGAAATCTTAGCTAGATGCTGCTGCCTCCTCAGAGCTTTTTACAAGGAGAGATTACCCGGAGTTGGAGAACAGAGCTGTGAGTGCCAGCCTGAGACTCGCTCCTTGATGCGGTTGGAAGGATGGAAAGAGAACTGGAACCCCTCCCTACCTGATGCCAGGTGGCGATGCCTGTCCTTGTCCCACATAAGCAGCCTCGAGACTCCACCTCCCAACTGGATTTCAGGGAAAACCAGTTTTTCCCAAGGGCACGTCAGTCCTGGCTTGGCCTGGGAGTCTTGGGGGTCAGCCTGCTCCCCATCCTGCCTCACAGCCCTGCTGCCCTGGGAGCTGGACACAGAGCCCCGGGAAGAGGCTGTGTCCTGGGCCTCTGCGTGCCCTGAGCTGCGCCCTGTTGCCTTGTAGAGATCCAGGTGATGATGGGCAGTCTGGTGTACCTGCGGCTGGGCTTGGAGAAGTCGCCCTACTGCCACCTCCTGGACAACAGCCATTGGGCCGAGATCTGTGAGACCTTTACCCGGGATGCTTGTTCCCTGCTGGGGCTTTCTGTGGAGTCGCCCCTCAGCGTCAGGTACAGCCAGCCCTGGGGGGCCGCACAAGTAGGAGGGTTTAGAGAAACATTTTGCCGAGGCCCTGCTGTGTGCCAGGGCTGGTGGTTGGGGCCTTCACAGACCTAAACGGGCTTTCTTAAGTCATTCTTCCAGATGGAATTACCTTTGTTACTACAGTTGGAGAAACTGAGATTAGGAAGAGTTGTGGCCTGAGGTCACCACAAGGTCAGGGGAAGGGTCGAGGTTTCCATTTTGTAAGGTCTCTTGAACGAGGTCCCTGCCTCGCCTGCACCTCACCCCAGATAATCACATGGCCCTCCGACAGCCTGGCCTTGTGACCTCATCTCCACCACCACTTCCCCCGAGAGGCTTGAGTGTGGCTGGGCAACACGTGTCGAGAGCTTTCACTTGGAAGTCTTCTTCACAGTAATCTTCCTCTCTTGACTTCACAACAGCCCTAAGAGTTGGAGGTACTGTTATCCACATCTTACAGATGAGAAAACAGAGGCTCAGGACAGGAATGAACTTGCTTAGGGCCTCACGGAATAAATGGCACTTGGACCTGACCCCAAAGTCACATACCGCACCACAGCACAGTGTTACGGTACATTTTATTGAGACTGGCCGTGGAATCTCGTGCCCCACCCAGGGTGATGGATGTCAGTTGTAGAACAGTATTTCCCAGCAGGAGCCATCTGCCTTCAGACAGGACGGTTCCCTCATGCACGACTGCCCTGAGCACCGGGGTATGTAGCACCTGAAGCTCCAGCCAGTCAGCTGCCCACCCCTGCCCCTATTGTTGTCAGAACCCACCCCCTACTTCTAAGTGCCCTTGTGGATAGCCAGTTACAGAGGTGCATTAGGATGGCAGAGTCGGGTAGACAGTCAGGCTGGGCCCTTCCAACTGAGCACTGTCCCCTTCACACCAAGGACTTTGCAGTGGTTTGGATGAGCAGCTGTCTGCCCCCCGCATCTTCCTTGTCTTTCCTCCAGGTTCTCAAACTTTGGAGTGCATTAGAGTGACTCTCTAGATTTGGACACACATAACTACATATGTGGCACTTTACAGGTGACCTGAGAGATTTTCCAGGACCGATTTGACATGTGTCCCTTTAGAACCCTGCCCCGAGTTCCAGACCGATGGCAGTGTGCTGGTCTTCTGTCTGCCTGCTGGGCTCTTGGTCTGGCCGCTCCAGCCCCTGCTTTGTTCTGCAGCTTTGCCTCTGGCTGTGTGGCGCTGCCCGTGCTGATGAACATCAAAGCTGTGATCGAGCAGAGGCAGTGCACTGGGGTCTGGAGTCACAAGGACGAGTTACCGGTGAGGCCTAGCAGGGAGGTGTGGGCAGACGGCACCGGGGAGGACAGCAGGAGAGAACTGTACTCACCCCTCTGCTGGCCTCCCCAGATTGAGATCGAACTAGGGATGAAGTGCTGGTACCACTCAGTGTTTGCGTGCCCCATCCTCCGCCAGCAGACGTCGGATTCTAACCCTCCCATCAAGCTCATCTGTGGTCACGTTATCTCCCGAGATGCACTCAACAAGCTCATTAATGGAGGAAAGTAAGTTCCCTGTTCTCTGCTCCTCCTTGGCTTGGCTCTCCTGCTGGCCAGCCGCTGAGATGTTCTTGGTTCTCTTCCCTTTGCAGGCTAAAGTGTCCCTACTGTCCCATGGAGCAGAACCCAGCAGATGGGAAACGCATCATATTCTGATTCCTGCCTGGAAGGAACTTTGTTGAAAGCGGTTTTCGCCCATGAACCGTGGTGTGTCTTGGTGGGAGTGGTTGGCTTCAGTGGACTGTGGTTCAGAGCAGCTGGCTGAGGAGTGCCAGCATGGGCAGGGGCCAAGAAGGGAGGTGAACCAACCTGCACTGGGCAGCTGGCCCTTGGCTGTAAGAGCAGGGAGATGCTGGCCTCTGTGCTCTTGCCCTCTCCCCGTTTATAATCTGCCATTGACTCAGTCACAACCAACAGAGAAGTAAAGGGCTTGACCAGCAGCAGATGTCCTTCCACGGCTGCCCTCAATCAGGTCTCTTACTGCCACACCAACGCTTGCGTGCACTCCTCTCGCTGTACAGCCTCACAACTGTATGTATCCATGTCCCACTGTAAATAGTCCAGGTTAGAACTGAATGCCATTGTTTTATAACTCGGAGCAAATATATTCCTAGGGCTTCTCCTTACTTCGCCTGCCTTCAGCTTCACTGACGAAGAATTACTCCATGCCCTCTGCACACAGGTCCTGGGCACGGCCTGGCTGCTGCGGCTGGGAGCATGGCAGCCATGGCGCCCAGTCAGAAGAAACCCAACCTGCATCTCTGATTGGGTGAAAACGCTGGGAGATGTCAGACCCTGGGCAAGCTGCTTTTACATATACACATATCAAATCTTATTACTCCATGTTAGACGTCAGTGCGAGGGGAGTGAGGAAGATGAAATGACTTGCACAACAGGGCTCACAGCTTATAAAGAAGAGAGCTTAGAGTTTAAACCAGATTTGACCCTCAAGCCCAGTTTATTCCAGGATCCCTGAAGCTTGGTTGCTATGTGTACTGAGTCCTATGCTGGGCCTTTCAGACAGGAAGGCACCTCAAGTCTAAAATGTTCCAAGGGACTAGACTACTATGGCCATTTGCCAAGCAGGAGAGATGGCCTGGGGTTTGTATTTATCTTCACGTTCCTATTTAAAATGTCCTCTGTGGGTGGGTAAATTGCTTCCATACGCTTCCCAGTGGCATCAAAGACTCATGGAGAAGAAGAAAAGAGGAATGGGGGTGTCCCTGATGCAGGGGCTGGTGGCTTCCATGCAGTGGGCTCTGGGCTCGGCTGCCTTACCCTGCAGCTCCTAGTGACTCTGGAAGTGGGAGTCGAAAGCTCGGGGGTGGGCAGCAAAGAGTCTGTTCTCAGCTCGAGTCTAGCACGGGCCCCGGAAGCCAAGCATTAGCACTGAGCACTCTGAAAAGTCCTTGGGTTCTCTGGTGAGAGAGGCTGCTTCTACTTTTTCCTGCCCACCAACTCCTTGGCCCTACCAGCAGCTGCTGCTTAAAAAAACACCTACAGACTTACCACATTTTAGTCTTAGCATTTACTTCCCCCACACCACATTCTCGGAAGTGTCTTCACAGACGCTCAGCAGGAAACAGCACTGATGGAGAAGTGAAAGGGCTGCTGGAGCTGCCTGGGAAGAAGACGTGCCCCGGGACGGAGATGCTGTGAGAGTGGGCAGCAGAAGGGCTCCCAGCTGGCCCGCCGCCAGCCCAACAGCCTCCAGAGCAGGTGCCAGGTTGCTCCCCAAGTCCTTCACATGGGTGGGGGCAGGGCATGCACCTCCTCCAGGCATTCGTCATAGGCCTCCTGGTATTCCTCGTGGGGCTTGACCATTATCACACAGGTGGGGCGCTTGGAGCCGGCGGCTGCACCCAGGTCCTGCAGAAAAGGGGAAAGAAGGGCCATTTGGAGAAAAGGTCGCACAGCCTTATGCCAGGGAGTCACAAACCAGTGACCTGCCAGCCTAATCCAGCCTACAGACAAGTGCTATTCAATCAACATTATACTTAAAAACATCTCACTTTGGTTGCCATCATTTAAACTCAGCAAATTTTCAAGCTGTGGTCTAGCGACACTGGGCCTACATTCCCACATAGCAACTGTGAAAGGGCTCCAGCCCAGCAGTGGCTGTCTCCTTAGGCAGAGCCTATGCTCTCCAGGTCCCAGCCATGCCCACTCCCTGTGCCCCAGACCGGGCCCTGCTATCTGTAAGGATGAGGACAGCTGCAGGCCCCTAGAACACCCGCTCTGAGCACTGCACCCACCCAGGAGGACTAACATGGTGCGGCAGCTTAGTTGACAAAGCATGTCCGTGTACACCTTCTGCTTCCTTCTCACAGTCCACGGAACGGTATTCCCATTTTATGAGAAGGAAACCAAGGTGCAGAGAGGGAACTTTGTCTGCAGCCCCCAACTAGGAAGGAGCAGAGTCAAGAATCCACCCAGGCCTGTCTGAACTCTAAAGCTTGGGCTCTTTCCCAAGCTGCCGCACACCGATCCCAGACCCCGTCCTCCAGTGCTGACCAAGGTCAGGGCTCACGTGCTCCTCACCGTCTTAGAGGGGATATAGACGTAGGGCAAGTTCCGGTCCTCACACATCACCGGGAGATGGCAGTACACCTCAATGGGCAGCGTGTCTCCTGCCAAAACCATGATCCTGAAGTGAGAGAAACAATGTTTCTAGCTTGCTCATTCCGTCTCTCAGTCCAAAGTGCCACCTCTGGACTGGGCCTTGGGGGTACAGAGACGGCTAAGATGGCCCCCACCCTCAAGAAGCCCAGTTTTTAATGGCCTCTCAACCTCTGAAAGTGCGTGCAAATTTATATTTGGTGAGTGCACTCCTCTGGGGAGGTAATCTCTATTTTTTTGCAACAAGTAAATGCCACCAAGTTTGACAAGTGGTATCACGTTAGGACAGACGAGGTACGGAAGGCACACAAAGGAGTAAGAGCTCAGCGCTCCTTGGAGAGTCAAAAAAGGATTCAGGAGGTGACACTTGAACAGAAAGCTGAAGGATGGCTTTCTGTTAGGCAGCCCAGGGAGGGGCTGAGTGTGGGGAAAGTAATTTAAGGCTGAGAGAATCAGAATGGCACCAGATGCACAGGGGCTGGCTGTTGGGAGCCTGGAATAGCTTTGGAATCCAGGATGGGGACTGGGGCAAACAGGGCTAGAGAACTTGGCAGGGACCACACCCAGAGATCTTCAGTGCCAGGCTAAGCAGCATGGGCTCAGTCCCAAGAGTGACGGAACCAATGAAGGCTTTCCAGAGAATCCATAGCTAGGGCTCCTAGCTGGCAAGGTGTTGGGGCTCTGGGGCAAGGGCCTCAGGAGCCCTGAGGACAGAGGGAGTCTGTTCTCCAGGGCAGGTGACAGGCAAACACAAGCAAAGAGCTCTTGGTTCAGAGCACTGCTTCCACCCTCTCCTAGCTTTCCTGTTGCCTCGTGGCTCTCCTCTTCCTGAGTAGCCTTTAAATGCTAGTGTTCCTTACAGCCTGCTCCCTTGGCTGCCCTCTTGCTGCCTTCTCCCTGGCTGACCCCAGCCATGGCCATGGCGTCAAGTGCCATGTATGTGCTGCCAACTCCCGAATCTGTTTCTCCAGCCTGGTCCTCTCTTCCAAGCTCCAAACCCATACAGCCATTTGCCTATTTGATGGTTCTGCTGGGGAGAGGGATCACGTATCTAAAAGGCACCTCAAAAGCTTGTCTAAAACCAAACTCAGGATTTTCCCTCTTAATCCCAGCCCCCCTCCACTGTCCACTAGCTCAGTAAGCAGGCCCTCTGTCCACTCAGCTGAAATCCATACCTCCCCACTCTGGTCTGCAAGTCCTCTCAGATCCATTCACTTCACTTCTCTCCATCTCCACCATCACCAACCTAAGCCAAACTGCCTTCACCTCTTCTAGACTACAGCAGCCTCCTGTCTCAGTTCCCTAAGTCTACTCTTGCATCTCTGATCCTTCTTAAGTTGCCAGAAAAATCTTCTTACGGTGTAAACGGAATTAGTCATGTCCTGGCTTTAACCCTCAATGGCCTCTCAAAGCTGGGTCCAAAAACAACTATACTCACCACGGCTTACAAAGTCACGTGAGAAGGTAGCACCTCGGCCCACCACTACTGTTCTCCTGCCCCGGGGCCCAGTCTTTCTTCTGGCAGAAGCCGCCCAAACGAATTCCTCTATCTTCAGACCTCAGCTACCCCCACCTAGGTCAGACTCCCCATGGAGAATCCAATCCCCCAGCATTATTTATCTCTTGAGCACCTACAGTGTACCAGACACTTCTGGGGAGAAAGCAGTGAGGGGCTTTATCCTGTTCTCAAAAAGCTTATTTTCTGGTCTGAGTGGGAGATACGGGGAAAAAATGCAAATAAGTTTCAGATTTTGATAAACACCAGAAAAGAGAGAGGAGGAAGAAGGAAGTCATTCTCACTGCACCCTGTAGTTTTCCTTCATAGTTACCTACCGCAAAACTTGTAATTGTCTGTGTGGTTATTTGATTAACGTCACCGTCTCCCGATAGCACAGTGCCAGAAAAAGTAGACTCTCGATAGGCAGTCGCTGAGCGAATGAAGCTGGGGTCCACCCTAAGCGAGCTGGCTTATACGACTCGCTCGCCCCGGAATTCACGTCCCCGTGGTATCCCTGAGCTCGTGGAAGTGACGGATCGGTAGCTGTACTGAAGCGAACTCACCGACTGCTCGCTCACTTTCTGCGTGTGGGGTTGAGGCCGAGCACTGGTGCCGAGACTACTACCCTCCTTACCGGTCAGAAATGCAAAGTCTGGCAGGAGGGGTCCTTACCCTTTCTCGCCCTTATTGATGAATTTCTGAACCTCCTTCACCCCGCGTCGAATCTGTTTCTGCTTCACGGCTGCAATGACAGAAGAGTCAGTCGGGGGCCTGGGCCGCCCCCCGCGCCGCCCGGCCGCCCGGCCGCCCGGCGCCGCCGCACCTTTCTTGATGCATTTGTAGAGCTTCCGCGTGAGCCGGCGAGAAGCCAGGGGCTGCGCGATGGGGTTCAGATTCACCAGCAGCTCGTGGTAGGTGCGCTCCCCGCAGCACGCCTCCGCCTGAGCCTCCGGCCCGTCCGGATCGGCCTTTATTTTGGTCATCACCGCCGCCGCCGCAACACACTCTCCAGGTGACGAGTCCACGCGGCCCGAGGAGTCACTTCCGGGTCACCCCGCTCTGCGGGGCGCCAGCCGACACTGCAACCGGGAAACGAAGTCTCCGACTCAGACCAATCGTTGACGCGCAGCTCCTTGACTGGCGACCTGGTAGGGGCGGAATCCAGGCCGTAAGGGCTGGCTCTCTCCCGCCACGGACCCGCGGGCGGAGCGGATTAGGGGCGGGGCCGAGGGCATCTGAGGCGAGGGGCGGGGCCTGGGGCGGGGCGGGGCGGGGGCGGGGACACTCGCTTGGGCGGGTCTGAGAGTCCGAAGTCACCGGTGCTTATGGGAGCCGGGGAAGGAGGCAATATCTTTGGGGCGTGACCACGACTTTGGGGCGTGATCCCGTGGGGCTGGATCCTTGCCTGACGGCGGGGTCTGGGACCCGAGTAGAGGAAAGGGCGGCCTGCTGGGTGGGTTTCCACACCACTTTAGAATCTGATCCTCATTTGGTCCTGGGTGGTGTGCCCGAGGTGCCAAGGTTAAGGTAAAGCACTGGTAAGGGTTCTTCCGTCCTAGCACCGTTTTTCACACTCTGCTTTCTCTTTTACTGCGAAGGATGGACTCGCTCACTGAGCTCCAGGGTCTGGGGCCGCCTTTCCCCAGAAAGTCCGTGCCTCGCTCCCCTTCTTCCCGCAGGGATCTGCTCAAATGTTACCCACTGGAGAGGTTTCCCTGACCCCCACTCTAAAATTGCAGCACCCCTCCAACCCTCCACCGCATCCCCTAACGTTCTGTTTTCCTCGTGGTTCCTGCACCACCAGGCATCACACACACATCGGATGCATCGCGGAGACATCTAGCTGCGCTGAGGTCGGAGACAGCACGAGTGCAGCCGTGAACGCTGCGGGCGACGCGCTGGGGCTGCGACGTGGGGCGGGGGGAGCTCTGAGAGGCGCCCAGTGTGCAGTTATCTGTAAAAGCTCAGGGGACCGCGACGTGGGGAGGCGAGCAGGCCTAGACCGGCGTGGATTTTGTATCTCCAACTTCTTCCACCACGTCTTGGAACACTGGGTACATATTAATTAGATAATTGCTCCAATTAATTGCCTTTGATTATGCGGTGGTAGGCCTGCCATTTCTGTGGTGTTAGAACAGGCCAGTCACTGGAACTTCAGAAGCTTGAAGGTGGCTGTGGAAGTGCAGGTCAGTTAAGCCAACTTAAAAATTGGCCTTTTAGTGCTCTAACCAAGTGCAAAGTCATTAAATAAAAAACAAATAGGTTTTTAATTTAGTGTTTTAATAAGAAATAAATGTATCAATTGAACAATGAAAATACTTTATATAAGCAATAAAAAATAATTTGAAAGTAGACGAAGTTTGTATGCACAACATAACAGAAAACTGACCTTTTACATTTTTTCACTTTGGAATTTCTTAAGAAAAGATAGTCCCTTCCTGAGCTTTAGGATGAGTGGCTACTGTCAGCTTTGCCTTAATGCTGATGACTTTGCTGTATCCCAACCCTTGCCCCCGCTCCCCTATGGGAAGCCCTGTAGTAGGGCTCTGGCCCTCCTGGGAAGCCCTCCCCAGGGAGCAGTGAGCTGTGAGAGCAGAGCTCCTCTGAGGACACAGCTGGCAGGGCTCGGCGGGCTGGTTTTCTCTTCCCTTTCTGAGTGGCGTTCCTGTGAATGTTTTCGGCTTGTAGGATGAATGGCCATGTGTCAGGGTCGCAAAGGGGGGATGCACTGCCAAATCTGTGCACAGGACATGATGAACTCTATCCGCAGAGTAACTTCACCCCTGGGAAACCCGGTTCAAGCAAATTCCAGCAAATGTGCATGTCTGACCTCACCAAGGTCTCAGTCATTAGGGCTTCTCAGTTCTTTTTTTTGTTTGAAGTTTGAAACCTGTGCTAACATCTGTTGCCAGTCTTCCTTTTTCTTCTTCTTCTTCTTCTCCCCAAGGCCCCCCAGTACATAGTTATGAGCGCCTCTGGTTGTGCTATGTGGGACGCCGCCTCAGCATGGCTTGATGAGCGGTGCCACATCTGCACCCAGGGTCTGAACCGGTGAAACCCTGGGCCGCCAAAGCTGAGCACACAAACTTAACCACTCAGCCATGGAGCCAGCCCCTCGGTTCTTATATGGAAGGAGGAAGTTAACATTTATGTGCCAAGCACATTGCATATACTATCTCTCACAAAGAATGCCTTTATTATTCACAATTTGCTGAGGCTCATAAAAGTGAATAGCTCTGTCTAGCTCACACAAAACTGGATTTCAACCCAGGTCCACTTGCCTCCAGCCCACACTCTGCTCATACTCTGTGACTTGGTGATTGACTTTAGCTCAAAGGATATGAAACATGGCTCAATGGTAAAAGCGTAGGAACACTCGGCCTGGCCAGGTCACCAGTGTCAGCTTTTTGAGCCGTAAGACAATGAAGTGCTAAGAACAAACATGTGTTTCTTAAACAGTCCCAGAGCTCTGTGCTAGATCCAAGGTGGTTTTGGTGACCTCACTGATTTTGTTCAAATGGCCACTCGAGCTCACTTGAAGCAGTGTAGTGTGGGTGAGACCATGATGGCCAATGGGCGGTAGACCAGGGCTCTAAATGACAAGTGACTTTGAGTAAGTCATTTAATCTGTCTAGGTTTTAGTGCCTCATCTAAAAATTAGAAAGTTAGATCTACATAGACCAAGGCATCATCTTTTAAAAAGTTGGAGAGAATGATTTTTCTTTAATTGCAATATAATGCACATACTATACAATTTGTCCATTCAAAGTATACAATTCGGTGGTTTTAGTAGCTTCACTGAGTTGTGCAGGCATCACCACAATCAACTTGAAGACATTGTTTCCCTTCAAAGAGAACCCCTATACCCTTTGGCTATCACCCTCCAACCCCTTCATCTTCCCCAGCCCTAAGCAACCCCTAACTTATTTTCTGTTTCTATAGATTTCCCTGTTCTGGACATTTCACAGAAATGGAATTATGTAGTGTGTGGCCTTCTGTGTCTGACTTTTTTCATAAAGCACAGTGTTCTCAAGGGTCATCCATGTTGTAGCATGTGTCAGTACTCCACTATTCCATAACATTTCGTTGAATGGATATTGCACGTTTCATCCATTCATCAGTTGGCGGATTGGGTTGTTTCCGCCTTTTGGCTGCTGTGAATAGCGCTGCTATGAAAGTCGGTGCACAAGATTTCGTGTGGGCATATGTTTTTGGTCCTCTGGGGTAGATCCCTAGAATAGAACTGCTGGGGCCATGGCAACTCTGTGTTGAACATTTTAGGGAAATACCAGACTATTCTCCCCAGTAGCTGCTCCATTTCATGTTCCTACAGCAGTGAACAAGGGCTCCAGTTTCTCCACGTGGTCTCTGACACTCGCTGTTCTCTGACTTCTTCGTTATGGTAGTCCCAGTAGGTGTGAAGCAGTATCTCATTGTGGTTTGGAATTGCATTTCCCTTGTGACTAATGATCCTGAGCAACTTTTCATAGCCAACTTATTGGCTATTTGCATACCTTTGAAGACATGTCTATTCAGATCCTTTGCCCATTTTTAAATTGAGGGCGACTTTTTATTTATCAAGCTAGATGCTTACTTTAGGAGCTGAAGTTCAAGTAGAAGAAAAAATATATATAAATAACTATATATAGTTTACGCGATTTATTGGAAATCTGCTTTAATTCTTTTGTAGGCCAGTTACGTCACTATTAGTATGGCCAATATTAGTCAAGATGATCAATGGAAACTTACATCCCAGCCTAGTTTCCTTAGTGACAATTGCTGTCTCCCCAGAAATGAAGCCTGAGATTTCAGGACAGAACCTGAGAAGAGAGGGACCATCAAGTGGGACTCTAGAGGACGGAACCTTCCTCGGTCACAACTGCTTGGGACACACCTTACTGCATAAAACTGGGAACTTAGAAACGACAGCTTGGCACTTCAGGAAGATGGGTTTCTTTAGGGTCAAGACTTTGACTTTGGAATTTAAAATTTATTATTTAAAGATGATAATATTTATGCTAAAAAAATTTTCAGGGCCAGCCCTAGTTGCCTAGTGGTTAAGTTTGGCACGCTCCACTTCAGCGGCTTGGGTTTGGATTCCGGGCATGGACCTACACCACTTGTCTGTTAGTGGCCATGCTGTGGTGGCAGCTCACATAAAAAGAAAAAAAAAAGAGGAAGAGTGGCAACAGATGTTAGCTCAGGGCGAATCTTATTCAGCAAAAAAAAGAAAAAATTCAGATAGTGTATAAGAATATGAAGTGACGGGGACCAGCCCTCTGGCCGAGTGGTTAAGTTTGCATGCTCCACTTTGGTGGCCCAGGGTTTCACTGGTTGGGATCCTGAATGTGGACCTAGCACCACTCATCAGGCCATGCTGAGGTGGCATCCCACATAGCAGAACCTGAAGGACCAACAACTAGAATATACAACTATGTACTGGAGGGGCTTTGGGGAGAAGAAGGACAAAAAAAGAATATAAAGTGAAAAGTTAAACATCTGTTCTCCCTGACACCTATTCCCCTCATTTAAGCTCTCCAGAGGTATTCACTATTAAGGTTTTTGTGCATATATGCAAGTGGATATATATAGATATATTTGTTTACATATGTTAAATAGTGTACTGTTCTGGCAATTTATTTCAACTTATCAACATACCTTTGGAAAATTTTCTATTTCCACAATAGAGATAAATCTTTTTAATGCCTCCATTGTATCGCATTGTGTGGATTTCCATAATTTATTTAACCCGTCCCTACTGGTGGACTTTAGTTTGTTTTTAGTGTTTTTACTATTTTTAATAAGTTTGCAATGAATATTGTGTAATATCTTTGGTACTTTTGTGAGTCTATCCAGGGATAAGTTCCTAACATTTATGCTTCGATATAATCCATCTTGTCCACGTGTCCTCTCAAGAGGTGGGGTTCACAGTTGCTCTAAGAGTGTCTCTCCATCCCTCGCCAAGTCTGGGTTTTAGCAACTTTTTTAGGCAGACGGGGGTGGTGATGCTCCGGTTAGGAGAGACAGCGTCTTGTTTTCACTTAGATTTCTTTAGTTCAGAGGAAGGCTAGACGTTTCATGTTTTTGTGGGTCATTTGTGTTTCTTTTGCTGTCAACTCCCTGTCCTATTCTTA